GTGGTGACCCCTGAGGCAGCCCGCATGACAGCGGGAAGTACTCCGTTGTGCTTTCTTCCAGTCGGACTCTAGCGGTGCGGTTGCAGCAGAAGCTAAAGATCAGTCTGGTCAGGCCATGTGGCCATCCCTGCTGACGCAGTCTAATGACGAGCCGGTTCCGAAGGACGGAGTCGAACGCCCCTTTTACGTCCATAGTCAGAAGTGTCGCCGTGAGTCCTTTTAGGAGGGCCATCTCGATGTCGTGGGTGAGGCAGGTCGTCAGATCGACGGCTGACCTGCCTTGTAGAGCCCCGATCTGTTGCGGACTGATGATGCGCTCGACAATCGCCAGGGACGCCATCCTTCTGGCTATCAGTCGCTCTAGTCCCTTGCCCAGGCCACGAGAGGAGCGCGATCGGCCGCCAGGACCCGGGCTTGGAGGCATCCCTGCCGGCCTTCTGGATCATGACCACCTCAGCTCTGCGGAAGGGCAGAGGAAAGTGGCCGGCCCGCATACAGGACTGGAATAGCTGCCTGACCGGTTCCGAGATGACATCCCAGCATGCCTGGAGGAGGCGTGTTGTGATGCCGTCCACACCAGGGGTCGTTGTCTTTGTTAAGGTGGCCGTCTTCACTCTTCTCCGCTAACATTGTCCTGCCAAGTAATCGCTCGCCTCGGGACGACGGGTACGTCAAACGGGTCACCCGGTGCGTCATCTTCCGCACTAAACCTGTCGAGAAGGGCTCCCCGAAGCGCTTGAGCCTTTTCGTTAGTATCCTCGATCGTCTGGTTGTCCACAACCAATGGGGGTGCTCTGGTCAGTAGGCTCGCCTTCCGCCAACCCATGATCTGGTACAGGTCCCGGTCTGAAGCGACTCCATCGATCTTTCCGGCCCAGTATGCTCGCTTAGCCTTCCTCACCGTGCTCAGGAACGCCTTTCGTTTCTCCATTAGATAAAGGTGCGCATCTTGCTCCGTCTCCCAGGCTTGTTGGTTGCGGGCAGCACGGTATGCTCTGTGGGCCTCTGCGCATTCCTCCGTCCACCAAGCCGCGCCTTTACCATGTTTTCCTCTCTTCTTGCCGACCGCCTCAATGGCTCGGGAGAAGAGCTCGACGATGTGACTTGCCTGCCCGTCCAGGTCTTCCGGAGTAGGTTGATCCCCCAGATTGGGCATCGCAGCTAGCCCCCCTTCGATCAGGTCTCTCAGCCGAGGCAGCGCCGAGTCGGGCACTGACAGTGGCCGTGGCTGCGGGTGGCCCTCTCCCTGTGACACTGGGCGTTTGAGTAGTGGTATGACGGCCACGATGGCCTCGTGGTCAGCTCCCGGGTGTAGCTGTGGGCTGACCTGCGCGTGCGCAAAAGGGATATTAGAGAAAGCCAGGTCCAGGACATGTCCGCAATCCTGGGTTGCCACCCCAACTTCGCTGATAAGAGAGAGATTGTGGCCGTCTGCCCAGCCCTGCGATGTCATCTCCCCGGTTCCCGTTCCTCGTCCCGGGCTCCCAAGAGTAGTGATGCGCGTTGAAGTCACCCGCGATCAAAGCTCGCTCCGGGGGTTTGAGTTCTAGCAGTATCCCTGTTGTGCGGCTGTGGGGGTCGCGGGTTGTCTGTACACGTTGACGATAGTCGTCGTTTTGTCGACCACCAGCCACAGTACGTCTCTCGTGTGGACAGGCCTCTGCTGCTCCACCGTCATCCCTATCCCTTTGCGTGTGTAGGTCAATACTCTTGGTCTGGTTCCTTCGCTGTCCCAGAAGTCGACCGGGACGAAAGAGTCGAAACCCGGGTGCGTGTTCAGTTGCACGTTTCCGTCCTTCCAGCCCGTCCAGGGTTCCTGGACGAGGACCACATCTATCTGAGCCTCCCAGCAGAGCTGCAGGAAAGCCGTGTGCGCCGGGGAGATCTTTCCGACGTTGCCCTGCGCAACGCGTAGCATCCGTGGGGTCGCCGCTCTCGGCTTACGTCTCCGAGTCGAGTTCGAGGTGGGTGTAGGCATTCGCGACGTTGTAGTTTGGCTTCTGTGCTGCCCGTTGGCTCCTGCTTGGCATGGGTAGCACGGGACGGTCGATGGAGGTGTTGTCGGGGGAGTCTTCGCCTTCGCCTTCGTCCGCCTCGTCTTCATCCATGCTGCTGCTGTCAGTGCTTCCGTCACCGAGGCAAACGATCGAGCTTGCGGAGGGCGTTCTCGTGCGCGCGCGCTTGGCGCCGGGTTGCTGGTTCTGGCTGGTGGAGGTAGGGACGCCTGCCGCCTCCTGGCTACTGTCGGATCGAGTAGCCTTGTACAGAGTGTCCGATGCTTTCTGGCCGGCCTTCCGGATCCGAGCCCGCTCCTTTCGACCGGGAAGGGAGACGACGCCGTTTACGGCCGAGGGCCTCGCTGGGCAGTCTGTGTGGCTGGCTTGGAAGGGGCCGCAGCAGTTGGCACATTGGGGCCTGGCCATGCAGGGTCCCGTTTCGTGTGAATCGGAAGGTCTTCCGCAGTTGCTGCAGATCGGTCGTCGTCCGCAGAACCGGTTGGAGTGGTAGCCCTGGCAGCCGGGGTCGTGTCGGATGAGCGTCCTTCGTTTCTTGACGGGCAGAGATCTGCCGCTTTGGTTGAAGAGCCTGAAGGGCGTGACCTCTGATGTGAATGATATGAGCCAAGATATTTCGTTCGTGACTGGGTTGGGCCCAAGGCGGGACGGTCGAGCAAGGACAGGCTTCTGTCCTGTCTGTGCGAAGACCTCATCTTCAACGAGTGTGGCTGGGTCCAGGACGTCCCCGCCAATGCTGTGTAGTTTTGTTGGGCATCGCGGCACAACGTAAGTGTACCACTTGATAGGCGTCTCGACCTGGTGGGCGCCGAGGCATTCCGCCAGCTTTGCCTTACTTGCAAGTAGTCTTTCCTGTATTTGCTTGTTTCGCGGCTTCAGAGAGTAACCTGTGCTGATATGGTAGACGTGGGGAAGGTCCGCTAGCCCCAGGCCAACGGCCTTACAGACGATCTGTCGTACGGCGAACGGTGCGATCTTCCGAGCGGCCGCTAAGCTTTCTTCCGGGACGCGGGCAAAGATGCGGAGGTCCTCCTTCGGCTGCGCCTGCGGCTGATCCTCGGCGGGGAGTGTGGCCTTCGGGCGGGCAGAGCTCTGGCAGCTCTGGCCGCTCCGGGTCGCCGCAGTGGTGTTGCCCGCCATCGGTGCGACGACAGCCGCCCAACTCCGGGCCGCTATTGGGCTTGTCTCGTGATTGATCAGTCTCTTGAGGGTTTGAATGACATAGGCAGTGGCTTCTTTCGCGATCTGCTTTCTAGAACCGTCAAAGCTGGCGACAACGCTGTCGACGGACCGTGCAATGGTCAGAAAGACGTCTTTCCGTGCCTCGTACTGTCTAGCTTCTTCTGCAAGGGCTGTCAAGACGGACCCTGTGGCAGATCCGCTCGGAGCAGATGCGGTAGAGGCTGCGGGCCCCTCGGCCGAGGTAGGGGCGTCGGTGGTGGCATCAAGCTGGCTTCCCGTTAGGCTGGGCCGGGTCGGCTGTGCCTCGACGTCGCGGCGTCGCTTAGCTCTTGAGGTGGGGTTCGGCTCCGGAGGTGTCCCGGAGCCTGGTTCGGGGTCGGCTTGGTCGGCCGACATCAGTCCGGTGCCCGACGGCGGCTGTGAGGCCATCGCGGATGCGGGCTCCGGCAAGGGGAGGTGAAGAGTTTTCGGCTGTTAGTAATTTGGTGGTAGGCTCACTCATTCACTAACAGCAGATGCCAAGAAAAATTAGGCGAGAGGGAAGTTGCTACACCACCCAGCTGCAATATGAAACCCTTCTTTTCCACTACCACTGGATTGTAAGTAATTTGATTCCTTTGCATCTTTGATTGCAGGTCGAATACCAACACAAAACCCCCTTAGGTCCCTCGGCTCGGCCCGGCGCCTCATTCTGATGGCACTGCGGTCTTCAAGTCTCTGGTAGCTTACGATGGCTCGCCATTTGAGTACTCGTGGAAATGGAACACCACGACCGGCGAACCCGACATCCGCTACTCATGGGAGGCGATCAACAGCTCCTCTGGAACTGCTGCCGACCCCCTGAACCATGACCCTACGCTCGATTACATGGAGAAAGTGCCCAGTGCTCTCCCGGGCGTCGACTTTTCGTGGTACCGCCACTTCCTGGGAGAGCTGTACAACCCGGATAGGTCCGTCTACGCCAAAGAGCTTGAAGAGGGGGAGCCGCCAGCGACGACCCTGATGCACGCCGTCGAGTACAACAAGAAGGCTAGCTTCGGCCTCAAGTCGTACTTCCTCCCGAGGAAGCTGTTCCAGGGCGGAGACCCAGCGACGCTTGGTGAATGGGACACTGCCATCAAGAAGCTGAACCCAGACGGCAAGCACCCGGGCAGAGACGCCCTAATGCACTTCCTCGCCAACAGCCCCGAGGGCCGCCTCATGAAGCCCAACGTCATGGGCATGGACAACGTAACGCCGTCCAAGTCGCGCCTCAAGATGTACTTCACCTCGCGTCACACCTGCTTCAACTCGGTCCGGGAGGTCATTACCATGGGTGGGCTCCGCGATGTCTCCGAGGCCAGCCTGCAGGACCTGCGCTCCCTTATTCTTGCCATCCTCGGCCTGCCCGAGGATTACCCCGAGGACGCCGAGTTCGCTCCCGCGTCTGCGAGCGGCAGCGATAAGTGGGACGATTTTGACGCGCTGTGCGAGGGCTTCACGTACTTCTTTGACATCGCGCCCTCAAGCGGCACGCCCGACGTCAAGTTCTACCTGCCCACGCGTAAATATGGCGCCGACGATTTGACGATTGCGAGGAACCTGGTCGCGTGGCTCCGGGAGCGCGGCCGTGGCGCTTACGCCGACCAGTATCTCGCCATGCTGGAAAAGCTCGCCGTTCACCGCGGACTAGAAAACGGCAAGGGCATGCACGCGTACATCAGCTACCAGTGCACCGACAAGGGTGAGCCGGATATCAAGTCGTATATTTCTCCCGAGTTGTATCATAAGGCGCGGTATTCCTCCGCCTAGTAACTCTCAGCTAGGTTCTGAATGATGAATGATTTATTTGTAACGTCCGTATTGAGCCAATTCCTCGGTTGGTGAAATTGCGGTGACATGATCCTCCAACTTCACAAGATGAGCTTCCTCCCACAAACACCGCGCGGGGGCATCATGCAGTATGTATATCCAGGGAAACCCGCCGAGATGATGGTGAACAGTTGCCCAGTCACGCAGGTCTGCACGATTGCAAGTCTCCGCGATTGCACGAAGCAGCCAGCTATGGTCATTGATTTTCAGGACCGAGATACCGCTCATAAAAAGGATCCACAGTAGCAGTGAGACATCGCCGGCTCGCACGTCTACGTGTGTCGAATGGAGCTCTAGAACGGCACTCACTAAACGAGTGCATAGAAGTGACGAATTGAAGTTATCGCGGCAGTAGTTGGGGAGCAGGCCGGTCATGAACGCCAGCATCGCGAGACGTGCTACGTCGCCGTAGAGGCCTTCCGAAGCAAGGAGGGGCTTTCTGAAAGGTTCACCTTCCAAGAGCCGGTAAAGGAGTGATATGAGTGTTTCTGTGTAGTCTAGAGGGTTGAGCTTGGATCGCCCGTGCTTGACCCTATCGTTGAGGATACCAGCGAAAACGATGAGATCGAGCATGATGCGGGGCAGCCCCGGGGGACAGGCCGAAAGCTGGTCCGCGATGGTGCTAGTGTCGCACAAGACAGTTGTTACGGGTACTTCCTGGCTATCAAACATCGTGGGTGACCCATTCTGCATAGCCAATTCAATGTCAAGCCTGTTGTTCGTCAATTTCCTTTTGCTTCAGAAATTGAATGTCATGTTGGGAGGAGGATGCGTACCGGAGTGGCTTGAGGGCTAAGGGACGGTTCTCCTTCATTAATCTAGCGATACCCCCGCGCAATTCAATCATTCGATGTAACCCCTTGAGGTGGACCAGGCCGGTCGAGTGTTGCTGGTGTATCTGTTGATAAATGGCGAGGGTGACGACGGCAGCAATGGCGCTGTCCGATATGGCATTAGGGCCTGAAAGTTTTAGGTTGACCAGCGAATAAGCCTGACATATGTGATGCAAAGTCTTCGACGACGTGGTAGGTTTCCGTTCGAAGAAGTCGACGTATGATGCCGACACAGCCAAGGTAGAGTGGAAGTCTGGGGTGGTTGTGTTAAAATGGCAATCCAACTGCATGAATTGCAGCTACTCACATGCTTCATCTACTAGGATGCAGTTTACCCATATTGATTTCAGGATGTCGAACTTGTAGCAGAATTGGGGAGGAAATAGCGTGTCACTAATGTCAAGAAACCCTGAAGGAAGCAAGTCAGAGAAGCTTCAGGACAGAGCACGAGGTTAGTCTGCTAGGAGGGGATTGAGTGAGCCGTACACCGATGCATGAGCCTAGTGGAGTCGGGATCAAGCTCTTGGGGAAACGATGTTAGACAGAAGTCGTTCCAGAACACCCGTCGCGGTATGTTCAGCTGACGCTTAACGGGGACATAGTTCCTCGGTCGGCGCGTCGAGGGTCGTGGCCTGCCGGCATTCTTGCCCCTCATAACATGAGAACGAAGGGCTCGACGGTCGGATTTGCCTATCCCGGCCGCATTCTGTTCAATGAACACGAGCGCAGAGCTCATTATGGTCGCTTAAAGGGTCTGGTCGTCGATGTCGGTAGTGAAGATTACGGTAGGCGGGGTCCCCTCCCTTGGCAATCGGTGATCTCAGCTGTTGCCTGTCTCCAACGGGATGATCTATTTTTAGATCACGCTAGCCTTATTCCCTATATGTAGATACTGTTCCGAGCTTGCTCCGATCACGTCATCTTCATGGTGATGTAAGGTAAATAAGGTAATTATGAACCTGTCTATCTGTTCAATTGAACTGCACATACGGTTGAGTTCTAGCCATTTTCCAAACCGGCGCTATGGACAGATCCTGGAGCCCGTATGTGGGCCTAATCAACTTCACCCCAGGAATTAAATACAACAAAAGTCGTAACAAATAGAAAGTCTAGATATCCCTCGAAAATATCTTTGATAGATGGCGGCCATTCTAGCTCCAGTCCGCCGCGGTGGAAGGAACAGGGTGGTATCCATTGAAAAAGCCCAGAGGATCAAATTTGTTCTTCAAGCTGGTCAAACGCTCATGGCGCCACTCGTCGTACCCGTACAGAGCCGAAAGAGGCTCGTCCTCGTTGGCATAGTTCTGGTAGACGTAAAGCTTGTCGTAGCCGGAAGAGGCAGGCTCAGCAAATCTGTCGCGCCACTCCTGGAAGAAGTCGTTCACAGCGTCCGCAACGGAGTCATCCGTATACGAGCCGATGGACTCAATCACGTTCTCAAAATGGTCGCGGTGGGGGAAAGCCGAGTAGTCGTCGGGAAGCGCCTTGACTCCCTGCACCGGGAACGTCTCGATCATCATAGCCGATCCGGCTGCGAGGGGGTTTGCCACCAAGAACGTCTCGAACGCGTCGGTGAAGTTGACCCAGGTGGTCGGGTTAAGGACCTTGGTGTTCAGGGCGCGCAGGTTGTAGCGCGGTCCTGTCGCGCAGGACTGCGGAATGAGACCGTGGACCGTCTTCGTAGGCAGCTCTTCCCAGCTCAGCATGTTCTCTTGAAGGTCAACGCTGAAAGGGGAGAAGCGCTCTGTGTACTTCTTGCCCTCCTCCTCTGGCCCGGAGTAGACCAGGTTTACGATGACTGTGATCTTTGCAGAGGTTAGCAAGACACAATAGTACTGAAGCTTGATGATGACTCGCCGACATACCTGAGATGTGGTAGCATCCAATGCGAAGAACATCAGAACGGCCAGCTTCTCGTCTAGACCATCCGCAGTGAGCTCGTTCGTGACCTCCATTACCCGTTGCACGGAATCCTTGGTAAAGACCAAGTCCGCGCTGTAGTGCTGTCCTCCATTCGTCGCCGGCCAGGTCTCGTACGTCGACTCGATAACGATGCCGTAGTTCTGGCCAGATCCCCTGATTCCCCAGAAAAGATCAGAGTTGACGTCGTTGGAAGCCTCGATAATGGTGCCGTTCCACAGGGCCATGCGGACCTTGCGGAGGGCGTCGCTAGTCATGCCGTGTAGGCCCTGAAGACGTCCGAGACCACCACCCAACATGGCGCCCGTTGACCCCACACACGGGCATGACCCCACGGCTATTGTCTCATGAATTAGAAAACAGAAAACATATTATTCCATTGAGGTGTGACTTACTCAGCTCACGTCCGGCGGCCCCTACGGTATTGATCAGGTCGCTGAAACGGACACCAGTTCCCACAACAGCTGTGCTGTCTTCTATCTTGACGTAGTTGAAGTTCTCTAAGTTGATCAAAACGGCGTCTTGGATGGCGTGGAGAGACGGCGCGTATCCGTGACCTCCAGACTTAGCCAGCCAGGTCATGTTGTTACCTGACATGTACTCAAGCTACGTACGCGAAGTCGTATCAGTCAAAGTTTTTGCCGTCCGAGAGTCGGAACAAATTTAGCAATGCTGGATCTGCCAACTTACAGCAAGGGAGAGCTGCTCCTCGGTTTCGGGAAGGAAAACCTCGTCAAAGGTAGGGGCCTTGTAGGACGACCAACGCGTCGTCTTTTCCGCAAAGCTAGTCCAGGTCTTGTCGTGCACCAGACTAGAAACCTCTGTCGGCCAAATGATCTGAGAGTCGTTACGAGGATACAATGTTGAGAAGGTCAGGGGTGTGCTTGATGCCGTCTGGATGAAGGCCAGAAGCGCCGGTAGGGCTTTAACAATCGTAAAGCGGGCCATTTTTGCTGCTGTTGGAACGAATGCGCACGTGAGACTTGTTGCTAATCAGGCTCTGTGAATAATACATCAAAACGGAATTTTGTCAAAGTGAGACCCCTAGGCTTTTATATTCTTCTCTAACTTGTAGCTTTCACGACCGTAGCCTGCTGTGCCTCAACAATCAGGCCCCCAATCGTCAGGAATGAAGCCATTGTAGGGCCATCATGGAGACGTTACTGTCGCTCCTGGGCTGAGGCGCAGCTGTATTGAGCAAGGCCAGGCTCCTCCATGTGCCCTGAAGTGGTGATAGCTTGGATTGAAAAAAACGCGAGATGATTCATGAAGGGCTCAGCCGGTGCCCTCTCCAGCCTGATTAGGGATGGTGTCTGATTTGGTGGCCTCTGTTACCTGGACATGAGCATCCAATCCTGATGCCGTGCCTGGAAGGATGAGATTTCTCCTGGTTCAATCTAGGGCTAGAGGCGCAACCGATGAGAATTCCGATTGTGGATGTTCCTGAGGGATCGCTAGTCCGAAGGCAGCTGCATTCAACGATCCTTTCGTCCCGGGAATCGGATATGATACGACTAGAAAAAGCTTGTCGTAACAGGGCTGAGAAAATTTGAGCGCTTAAGGCAAAGCCGTGACAGCCGTTCGGGCACGGAACTATGGCCGCAGCCAGTCGCGTCAACCGGCAACTTTCTCATAGGATTGCCTGCCTAGAGCGGGTAGTCCTCGTGTGAGATTGACAGGGGCTATGGGTGACTTCAGTTGATTCTGCAAGGGCACTGTAGTCAGCACCTATGCCTGAACAGACGAACGGTGACAGACACGGGCGTTTGTCCCATGATCCTCACCCCCTCCCGGTCGCCCGAAGTAGCGAATCGCTTCGCATAGCCCCCAAAGAGGCGCACAGGTCTAGACCTAAGAGCGAAGAATAGACAACAATAGCTTCATCTCGGGCGGGATTTGAGGTCCTGTCGAAGAACTGTGGCTTACCTTAGTCGGCTTCGTGGTTCTTGACTCGGGTCCGCTTGTCTCACAACTCGGGCCCGGAGACCCACAAATCGAACTCGGGTCCTGGGCCGTGAGACGTCAGCCTCCGGCAGAGAATACTAGAACCCAAACTGTCGAGTTTCTAGCCGGTGATAGTCAAGGGTTGCCTGATTTGCGCAATCAGTCCATCATTCTTTGGTGAATCAAGCTGTTTGAAAGGTGACATTGAAGTTGCAAACACAATTCTCCCACTGCCTTCACACCCTAACCCTGCGCGGAACAACGTTTAAGAAATACATAGCAAGCGATGAGTTCGGCAACAGGAATTCCAACATGCACCGGAAAGACCGTCTTGGTCACTGGCGCAGCTGGTACACTCGGCCAAGCGACTGCAATCTCGTTTGCCGCCGCAGGGATTGCCCGCCTCGCCATCGTTGACAATGTCAATGTTTCGATTACCCGTGATAAGGTTCTCCAAGCAGCCTTGGACGTCGGTAATCCGGCGCCCGATGTTCTTGCTTTGACCATCGATGTCTGTGATGCCGCGAGCGTCGAGTCAGGCGTGCGAGAGGTGGCCTCAACGTGGGATCACGTCGACACTTTTGTCAACATCGCAGCTTCTTCACCTCAACCCATCATCCCTCAGGGTAATGGAACTGGGTTGAGAGAGGTGGATGCCTGGTGGAAGACCTGGGAGGTCAACGCCAAGGGCATCAGCCTTATGACGAGGGCCCTACTGCCCCTCCTGTCGCGCGGGACAGAAAAGACGATCGTGAATGCGATTCCTGTGTTCTCCGCGAATCTCGCGGCGTATGCGAGCGACAGTCAATTGTCCGTGCTGGCATCTACGCGGCTTTCTGAGTGCCTAATGCTCGACTACGCGTACGAGGGCCTCTTGGTTTACTCTGTCAACCCAGATATTGATCTGCAGGGAAGAGGGTCAGAGGCCCAGAGACTAGGTATGCCGAACTACTGACACTTCCAGAAGATGAGAGTACCCTAGTTTCATGCTAATGATTGCAAGTCATAAATTCAGGATGCGGCGATGTCATTGTTCATCTGACCGACAAGCGGCGCGATTGGCTGGCGGGGAGACATGTCGGAAGCGTGGAGGACCTGCTTGAGCTAAAGGCCCGACATGAAGACTTGGCTGGCAGTTTTCTCTTGAATTACCGGCCTCCTATTGAGATAGTACCTTTGAAAGGCGAGGGATTTCTACCATCTTGGGTGTCTAGGAGGGGAAGAGTGCCTCGTAGTAGTTACTAAGCATTTTGTTGGAATAATTATGATAGACACTATTATGGAAACACAATTGAATTCCAACAGGACCTTTGATATGTAAAAATGAAGACTGAGAGTTGTTACTCTCATCTCTCGAGGTATTTTCCTCCTTTGGCTATCGACTTAATAGTGAAGACCAGCAACTAGGAACATGCCAACGACGTTACCATTTGAACGCCAAAATCATGCGTTTGAAAGTTGATCTTATTTGATATGTTCCGAGACATAGATCATCTGCCCGGCTGCTAGTACCTGGGCAATATTGACTGGACCCCTCCCACATTAATCGACATAGACAAATCGGCATCATCATTCTAGCACGTGGATGAAAATGAAATATGTCGCGTAGTCGCATTAGCCATCGATAAATCTAAACCAGTGATCGTCTTTGATTAAAAAGAAAAACACACGAGAATAAAGCTTATCCGGAAAAACGGTTATGGGAGCGTGGTATGTCATGGTCTTTTTATTCAGAAACGAAGATTACGCAAGGGGTGATAGTACCTGAAACAAACAGAATTATCATAACAAAGTATCCGTCAAAAGAAGCTGTAATGTACTTTGTGAATCAATTAATCAGGGTATCTCATGTTCCCCACTATCTAGGTAGCTTTCTTGAAGGAAATGTCCAATCTACGAAATCTGAGAAATGCATCCAGGCTGTGCCTGTTCCAGCTTGGCCACAAGCTCCTTCCATGTCGCCTTTTGCAGGCGCTGACCCTCATCGTTGCTGACCCAATCCGGGACCCAGAATTCCTTGATCTTGCAGCCAGATAAAAGCTTTCCATGACCCTCCTCGCCAACCACCAGACCGTGGATGATAGTGCGACTACCCACCTCGGCTGTGCGGGCCATCATGGCCCGAACCGCCTCATGCATGATCTTGGTGAATGTCCTCGCATCGCGTCCCAGTCCGGTGGTGCAAAGACCAGGGGCCACCATCGTAATTACCACGCCCGTACGGTCTACGGGAAATTGGGCCGCAAACTGGCGGACGGCAAATTCCTCAACCAGCTTTGTGAGAGCGTACCTGATAATTATGCGTCAGTTCCCGCCACAACCCGCTTGATCTCTCCTATTTCTCCATATGACGTACCTTGAGTCCATGTTTGCACGCTTTTGGTCGTTCAGCCCATCAAAGACGTTCCCATTGCGGCTCTTGTCCATCTCCGCCTTGACGGTGTACCCCAGCACGCTGACGATGAAGACGAGCGTAGGCTTGATGCCGAACTTGCGCGCGCTCTCAATCAGCTTGGGCATCATCAAGGCTCCCAGAAACACCGTGTTGACAACATTGACGAAGATGCTGCTTTCGACGCCTTCGAAAGTCTCCCACTGGTCAATCATGATGCCGGCGTTGCACACGAAGCCGTCGATCCTGTCCAGCTCCTGGGAAATCTGCTTGGCAAAGACTTGAACGGCAGCGTAGGTTGAAAGGTCCAGATGCCGAACCTTTCAGACAAAGAGTTCCAACGTTAGTCTACCGTTCTCGGCGTGGGTGTTTGGACCGAACGTTACCTGTACGACGCCCTTGCGTCCTGTCGACTTCTCAATGTCTGCCTTAGCCGCTTCGCCGGCGGTAATGTTTCTTACGGCCAGTACAACAGTCGCTGCGGAAGCCGCGACGAGGTGCCGCGCGGTCTCTAGGCCCAAGCCAGAGTTGCCTCCGGTGATGACATAGGTCTTTCCCACGCAGGTCGACTCCTCCACCAAGATAGGGAGCTTCCTGTACTGCTCCGCAGTCAATCGTAGCATCACCATCTTTGCTGCTACTACTACAGTCTCTTTAGAATTGGAGTTGAAGAGGCCTGACAAAGCAGAGAGAGTGAACTTTGAGACGAGTTCAAGAAGGGCAATGGATGGGGTTTGGATATGCTGAAAGACACGATGCCTGCGTGCTCAAGACGCGGCGTTCAACCTTTATATCCCAAGCAGGCAGCATCGTTCGAAGTCTCCAGAGACAAAGGGAGTGTCAAGGCTACAGCACGACCTTGGAGCCATTATCGATCCAACGCGCGTGGCATCATTTTGGTCAGTCTGGTGGCACGTAAGGTGGTGAGAATGCATCAGGGGTGGCCAATGAAAGGGCTAGATCTAGATCTCCGCCATGTGGGGTCGTCTTGGTAGCCAATCAGATATTGCTATCCACTTCGGGCCTAGCGTGAGGGACCCGCAAGCGTGCCGCTCCGCTCCGGGCGTCGAGTCCGAGCCAATCAGATATTGATTGCCTCTTTGGGAAGCTGCTGGAAAGGTACGTACCTCTATCCTCTTTTCAAAGACATTCGTCCATGGCGCATGTCAGAGTGGCTGGAAAAACTAGTAATACCCACCCCAAGTGTGTTGCCTATGTAAGATTGAGGTAGGATAAGGTGAAAACTAGTGGCTGTACTGTGTGCTCTAGCTTGAGTGACATTGGATTCCGCACTGAATTAAGATTAGTGGCTCGGGTAAGGTTGGGAACCAGGCGTAGTTGTTAGGTAGGTATGGTAGTTTAGCTAAGGGGCTACACCGAATTTGACACTAGGCGACCCTTTCACCTGCACCCATCTCTGTCTCACATGGGGGAAGGCATTCTGGGGTCAGCTTACACAGTACATCTAGACATGTGCATGAAGACGTATCGAATCCTTCGGAGTGAACCCTTGAGCCCTTGATACCTTAGTCCAGGCCAAGGCCTTCCCGCCAGCCTCAACCGAAGAACGCACGATTGCAGGTCCAGCCCGCCCGGTGCAACAGGGAGCAGAGGCCTTTCGCCTTACCCGTCCGCCACACATCGGCCCAAGGTTTCCTCCGTGCCTGCATTCACGTTGGAGACCTTCAAGGCTTGGTGGCATGATGTCCCCTGTGAACAGCGAATACCTTCTTCTCTGATTGCGGCGCAGTCTATCCATATACTTCGAACGTAGCAAGGGCTCTGTCTATTCTAAACCAAATCTTTATCTCTTTCATTTTCAACAGTGACCGCAAAGAAGCAGAAAATTCAAAACACACATTTGCCAGCAAATAGCGCGTCTTCTGGTGAGTTCTTGCCTCGACTCGCGCCGCTGCTCGCTCGGAGACGCGATGGGGCGAGCCTCCCGCTTGCCCGCAGACGACGGCTGATTAAGGGAGGGCTCGACTGTCATCTCACATACAGCTAGGGCAGCATGGGCCTGCATACCGTGCCACACTGAACGCGAACTTTCGTCTGATTCATCCGTCGTTCCCCGGAGGAATTGTACCCTTGATGGGGAACCGTGTTGCGGGGGGTGGATTAACGACGAAACGAGGGACGCAAGATCCACTCACGCATGCACGAAATAAACGAAATCGTTCTCTACCCGAAGGCGAAATCTGCGGTCTGACAGGATCTAGATCAAACTGGACACATTCTACGCGGTTTTCTGCTCTTGATTGAGCTGCCTAATGTGACCCTGCCTCTTTTGGGACTGCGTATAGGGCTAGTCATTTGACGCCCGTTCCACGGTTGCAGCATCGAATCATACGATAGGACGGCTCATCTACTTGAACGCTGCAGATATACCCGCTGTGAGGAAGTCGAAGGATTGCACAGTTTCCGCGTCCAACCATTGGATCAAATACTCAGAAGAAACGCCTCTGCTCTGGGATGCAGTGGAAGTGAATGTATCCGGAGGATTGGGTGATGTCTGACACAGTGACACGTATATGTCATGTAGCATTGGCCTTTCGTCTTCTCTGCCCGAAAGAGGCGACCCCATGTTGCTGCTGCTGTTGTCGTTGTTGTTGTTGCAGAAGGCACCGAGATCCTGCCTCTGAACCGAGATTCTGCACGCAGAACTGCGCTCATTCAATTTCTCCGCTTACGAGGCAGAGTGCAGCATAGTGGGGGTCCTCGGTGAGTAGGTCGCGCTGGGGTACGACGGAGGCGAGTTGTTATCATCGCCCCCGTCCATCGTATATCTATCTTGATATCAGCCCGCATGCGGTACTTCCCACTCCGTATACGCGAATCAGGCGGCAAACTTTCGTAGATCATCCAGAACTCAGGCTTTCTCATAGAATACTTTCTACTCATCCTTTCTTTCCTTTCACAAAAGTTCCAGTGAGAGCACTATGCCCCCTACTAGAGAACGAAGATGGTGGACCAGCCAAGAAGATGACATGCTCAAAAAAGAGGTGCACGGAAAAAGTACCAGTCTCCCCATTTGTCCCCTTGTCACTTGCGCTACCGAATCTAACAAACATCTCGATTTTCCAGTGCGCCAAGGCGGGAGCGTCCAAAACTGGAACGACATCGCCATGTCATTACCAGGTCGCACCAACAAGGACTGCCGCAAACGGTGGGCAAAGATCCAAGTCGATATCCGAAAAGGTGCATGGACACAAGAAGAAGACGAGAGGCTGCAGAAGGCCGTGCTGCAACTCGGGTGCAAGTTGGTTCACCCCACGCTCCCCTCATTTCCCGATCTCTCGGGATACATCAATGCTAACCTCCATTCTTCGCTTAGATGGTCTCAAGTAGGCGCCATGGTTCAGAGTAGGAATGCAGACCGTAAGTTGAATCATCCTCGTCAAAATTCTCTCTTTGGTTCCCCTAAGTGCTCAGATAGAACCTGGCTGTAGAATGCGCGAAACGATGGCAGCACGTGTTAGGACCCGACGTCAAGCACTGTTCCTGGACCCTCGAGGAGGACAGAAAGCTGCTGGACGCCATGAGTAAATTCGGAAACAACTGGAAGCAGATTGGTCTTACCGAGCTGCCGGATCGTTCGACCCACGATCTACGCAATAGGCAAGTCAGAAATCTGAAATGTCATGTGCATGGACCCTACAGCTGACCATCGCCCACAGAAGTCTCATTCTCGGCCGCAGGAGTCGGCATGCAGAAGCCAAGGGCTCAACGTCCTCTCCACAGTCATTACCGGGGTCCATTGACGAGGAGATGGCCAACAACAGCCCTGGTGGTAATGATGAGGAGGAGAGTTGTGACGGTGACGGCGACGACGTATCTGATGAAGGTTTCGAGTCCGAACTGACCGACTCAAGAGGAAAACAAAAGCATCAGCTTCTGATTAACATGGATCTTCTGTCCGAAGAACCAGTCGAGGCAACAGAACTCGGGGCCGCGTCCACAATCATGTCAGATTATCAACAACCACACACATTCTTGGAAGTACCCGCTCTGGAGTTGCCAGGGAGTGCTTTCAACATGTTTGATCCCAGCTGCATAGGCAACTCAGATCATTCATCGGCCAACTCGGCGTCTCTAACTCCGGACACCGATTGGACTTCTTGGCTCAATTCGCTTGAGGCCGACACTTCAGTGTCGCCGGATTCGCGGCCCTCGTGGTGGGATGAAGGTTCAACTGAGCAACATTACTTTCACGACTCCGGCTACGGAAGTTCGATTGACGTCAACATGGCAAGCATTTCGCATAGTAATCATGGCCCAAGGGCTAGGAAGCATGTGAAAGGCGAGGCTTCTCCAAGAGCTTCTGTCAGGCCAGTGGCTCGCACAGAGGACCCGTTAAGGGACAATGGGCAGATGGGTCTTATTACTTTGTCTCTGGATCAAGTAGACCCAATAATCGCCAACGAGATAATAGGGAGCGTCCTAAAGCACAGTGCTGGTCTTAGGATCAACTGCACCGTCAACAATCACTCATGACTCTCAAGAATACTGTACATGCACTGTTTATAGCTCGCATATTAGAACATTGTCCTAAAAAGTCGAAATCGCAACAAATCCCCCTTAAGATCATTCTGATAGTGTGTCATTTGTTCCTTGTCTATTTGTTCCTTGCCTAGATGTTGCTTAAATCATGTGCCAAAGCTCTGCACCTACAATTCTCGATCAACATCATCGTAATTCTAGTCCACGAGCTGCGGCAAAGACCCGAGTTCTGCCGCTCCTGTGCCCGACTTAGGAACCCGACTCGGGGCCAAGTCTACCTGATTGGTCGATCAAACCCACTGCTGTTTGTAGAGGGTGACGACAATCATCGGATCGTTCTTGATGGTATCGCCGGCAGACTACTTCCGACTACATGCGTTGGCTGCCGCAGTCCAATTTCACCTATCCGTCCATCTCTTCTTGTCAACCAGATACGTACGCGGCAATGTCATCTTTCAAAACGCCCCAGGTGAGCCTCGAACACGGCTCGACGTCCAGCCTGCGAACGCTGCCCGAATTGGTCGACTTCCATGCCGAAAATAATCCCAAGCACCTATATGGCCTCCAGGCCGAAGCAAACGAGACTGAAAACGGCCACAGGTTTGTGCCCTTGAACTATGAGACCCTACAGCGTGCCATCATCCGCTGCCAGGCATGGCTCATGGAACAGACAATCAGTCTTCACCCACCCAAGACTGCAGCCGATGGAAGCGTGAAGAAATGCGCTCCCGTCGCGGTGCTCATGGAAAGCCATGTTGGCTTGGTCATCTGCGTGCTCGCTTGTATGGGCATGGGCGTCCCGGTTGTTCTCCTGTCGGCGCGTCTAAGTGCGCCGTCCGCACGACATCTCATCCGCGAAACGGGCGCGAGACTTGCTCTTGTTTCTCCCCGCCTAGTTCCCCTAGCTTCCGAAGCGGTGGGTGCTGAAATTCAAGATAGCAAAGAGATGCCTGAAAAAAATATGACGACGATCTGCTCTGTATCCGGCTACGAGTCGTTTCTTGCGGATGAGCCTGCAGAATGCCAGGATCTCAACCTTCGCGCGGCCATTGCGGATCACTACATTTGCGAAGATGATCGCCAAGTTCTCATCCTACATTCTTCAGGAACTTCAGGTCTCCCAAAACCGATACCTTGCTCCCACAAGTACTTTCTGGGCTACGCCACATGCCACAACTTCGAATCAACCGCAGAAGCTCACGGACTGACGGTTTCCACACTACCATTTTTCCACGTAAGTTGAAGAAAACCCACGTTATTTCCAGTTCCCCAACTGATTGAAGAGGCAGGGCTTTGGCTTTGTGTCTGTCTGTCTATCTCTCAACATCGGCAAGACATTTTGCGCCCCTGTGCCCTCCACCATCCCCAACGGTGCCAACGTCGCAGCTCTCATAGAGGACTCCCAAGCCAAGGCTCTTTTGACAGTCCCATCTATCTTGGAGGAAATCGAGGGCTTGGCAGATGGCAGAGGTCATGAGATCCTTCGCAAGCTAGATTTCGTGGGCTTCGGTGGCGGCAGACCCAAAGCCTTGGTCGGTGAGAGACTTGAACGTTCGGGTGTGAAACTTGTCGGCCAGTACGGTGCGACGGAAACCGGTCCGATGACACCTTTCTTCGTGCCCGGCAAGGAACACGATTGGCGTCGCCTGCGACTGCGTGCTGATATACTCGGGCCGCTTCAAGTCAAGCTTGACCTCATCGATGCAGATGCAGAGAGTGCGCAGGCCGAATCGGGAGATGATCGATCTTACAGCTACAAACTGAGCATGAAGCCGTTTGGATGGCAGGAGCGCTTCGAACTGCAGGATATGATCGTGGCACGCACGGATTGCGTCTCAGTTGATGACGTGGGACAACTGGATTTCGTGATTGCAGGCCGCAAAGACGACTTGATTTGTCTTGCCACCGGAGAAAAGGTGAGGCCAACGATATTGGAATCCCTGCTCAGACAGCATGAAGACGTACGAGACGCCACCGCATTCGGAGAAGGACAGTTCGAACTCGGTATCATTGTAGAGCCTGTCAGACCCGTCAGCCCCGGCGATATGGACAATTTCAAGGCCTCGATCTGGCCGATAATTGAGGAAGCCGGCCGTCAGATGGATTCTCATGCAAGGATTACTTCGTCAGCCGCCATTCTCGTTGTCGCTCCTGAAGCGCTTCCGAGATCAGACAAGGGTACTGTCCTCCGGAGCGCAGTTTCGAGGAAGTTTGCCGATGAAATAACGGCAGTCTACCGCGATCTCGAAGACAGCATGGTTGCACCACCAATCGACCTATCCTCACCTGCATATAGTATCAAAAATTTCGTTATCAAGGACGCCATGGGGCTGCGCAATGACAGTGATTGGAAAGACGACGATGAATTCTTCGCACGTGGCATGGACAGCCTTCAAGCGACGAGACTACGAAGGCTGTTGACGGCCTCTTTGCGCGCAACGCATGCCGCTGCTGAGTCTGAAACAGCCAATGTCCTCGCGATCAAAGCGATTGAAGACGACATCGTCTACCGCAATCCTTCTGTAAATAAATTGGTCGAGGCACTGATTCCCGGTTCAAGCAAGACAAACGGCGTCCTTGCCGAGGCAAAGCTTATTGAACAACTGGTGGATAAGTACTCCGGTAGAAGCAACCACCGAGAGCAGCGGGAAGCCGTGGTGTTGCTCACGGGAGGCACTGGCAGTCTTGGGTCATTCTTCGTTGGATGCCTGCTTGCGGATGATAACGTGAGCAGTGTCATTTGCTTGAACAGACCTGGGAAAGGAAATCCCACAGAAGCGCAGAAACATGCAGTGACGTCACGAAACGTTTCTGTCGAAGAACATACATGGAAAAAGTTGGAAGTTCACCAGGCAAACACTGCAGATCGGTGGCTTGGCTTGCCCGAGACCGAGTACTTGGGTCTCGCGACTAGGATAACCCACATCGTACACATTGCATGGCCCATGAACTTCAGAATGGGTCTGCAGTCGTTCGAGGCTTCATTCTCAAGCTTGCAGAACCTCATTCAGCTGGCGCGCCAAGCAAGCATTCACCTCACACAGAAGCCAAAGCTATTACTGATATCTTCCATCTCCACGGTGGGAAACTATCCATCAATCAACGGACAGGCATTGATTCCAGAGGCAACCGTCGAGGATCAAAGTTGGACGCTAGAGCTCGGTTATGCCAAAGCCAAGCTTGTCTGCGAGAGACTCATCGAACGCACGGCGCAAGACCATCCTGAAATCGAGGCGGCGGTGATCAGAGTTGGCCAGATTGCTGGCTCTAGCACCGGCTACTGGAACGCTGCTGAACACTTCGTGGCCGTTTGTGCTTCGTCTCAGAAGCTGGGGAAATTCCCGGACCTGCGTGGGGTAAGTTCAAATTTCAAAACAGGCCGTTTTGTTGGCTTGAAGATCGGGGGTGATTACATATTGCTAATACAAACTGCTAGACCTTGTCGTGGCTGCCGGTTGATTTGGCTGCCGAAGCCCTCGCCGAAATTCTCTTCCATCAAGAGCCGCCTTGTTCAGTATACCACCTCGAGAATCCAGTCCGGCAGAGCTGGGAGGAGATGGTTAGACTGCTGTCCGAAGAGCTGCGGATAAGCAGGTCGTCCATTGTCTCACTCGAAACCTGGCTCAACCTAGTGGAGACTATGCCGGGACCAGGTAATCCTGCTGCAGGCCTCGTCCAGTTTCTTCGAGAGGATTTCGCCAAAATGTCATGTGGCTCCGTTGTCCTGGACACCAGCAATTCTCGCAAGGCGAGTTCGACAATAGCCAACATGACGTCTGTGAGGGAAAGCTCAATTAGTGCATATATTTCCTACTGGAAGAGCATCAAGCTATTGTCGTAGACACCTCATGGGCTATTGTCCCCGTGTGTATCGAAATGCATTCAATAGGGGCAAAGGCGTTATGATGTCTTGTCCGTAATTTCCAAAACATGACAATATGGAAGCTTGACGGGGCATTTTGTTTTGCCTTTTCGCGCCCTCGATACAGATCTGGTACATTGAGCCTGACGAGCCATAGACCACCGTCAGGTTTGCAGGTTGTTACCTTTAGTAATTAAGGTTCTGTCTGGCTTAAGTGGCTGCTCGGTACCTCAACATGCTACTTGCCATTAGACATGTAGGCCATAGTATCACAAAAATAACACCGGAGGTAGCGAGAGAAAGAGAAAGAAGCACTCGCAAGTCTAATTGAACCAAGAATTTCAATTTGGTATAGCCTGTGGTTCATGTCCTTTGCATCAACCACTAGAGACACTCCCTTGTGTCAAGTGAGCCGATATCAATTATTTCAAATATCAGCGCCCAATTAAATCGTACCTTGCGGTGATTAAGGCGTAAGCGTGCATCCCAAGTCCTTATTGCATGTATTCAGACACTTCTCAAAGACGGCATTGCTCCCTTTTCCAAAGAAGCAGTCTTTGCGGCAAAGATCGCACTAGAAGAAGTCAGTTGGAGTCTGCGTTGTAAAGGTATAGACATAGCCTATGTACAGCTGTATTCTGGCGACTTTCGAGACTAGTAGGGCTGGCGAGGGCAATGCCTGCAAAGAGAGCAAGGAAAATGATCGGAAATTGCATTTTTGTAAGTGTATAGTAGCGTCGGTCAACGAAAGCTTTTGCAACTCAAAAAAGTGGACGAAGGTTGAAAGGGAGAGTTGGCAACCTTGTATAAGGAGTGGACAGGTGTATTGAGTGTCGTTAAGGATTGAGGGATTCATCTTGAATAAGCATGCTGATAAGACAATATAGTAGCGGTCAACTAATAATACTTGGCAGGGGGGCCTTCAAACGTTTGTCTAGTTTTCCGTGGCCAGCTTGATGGATGTTATGATCAGCCGACACAAATCTGACACAGCGCACGGTTGAAGTCTTGGAAAGTACCGGACAAGGATCCCTAATAGTAACATCATAGCAGCAAAGAGTGATCAATCAGCCTAATTCGTATGCCATAGTCCTGGTTTTTACGTGAAAGAACCTGGTTATCGCGCACTCCGGCGGGATTGTCAAGACGAACTCTCGGCCGTCACTGGTGAACCGGCACCCTGGGACGCTAACCACCTAGTTCACCCGGACCACGAGTCAGTTGGCAAGGCAAGAATAGAGTTTAATTCAAGCACTTCATTGTCTCAGTTGATTTGTGACACAACCGGGAAGTTTTAAAACTAGGACTTGTTCGGCGTTATCCGCTGTTGCTTAGGCCTAAGTAGAGATATATAACAAACTAAGTATTCGAAATTCGCTCTCATAGTTCTCCCAGTGTTAACAATGACTACCCTAAGCATATTGCCGAGTCAGGCCGCCAGTGAGTTTGCGCTTTAATAACCCGGGCCTAAGCCTTTCAATGACTTAAATGCACCAATTTCTCCCCGGACGAGCATTGTCGTTCACCAAAAAATCTTTCACTTCCCTGACTATCCCGAGGAACTAAATGCAGCGCGAATGTTGTTGCGCAACTACCATACGATGCATGTCAAAGGGGCGCTGAGGGCATCATTTAGCAGCTGGTTGATAATTCTCGGCTCCAGTATCGGCTTATTCCATCGCTTTTGGGGAAAAGACCGCAAGCTGTCACTGTTGATGTGATCAATGATCTTCTGATAGCGATCCACGATTCATCGTCGGTTTCATATTAGCTTGGGCAAATGACAAACCGGACAATATCCCAGGGATTTCTTCACGGCATTTGTATTATCAGCACCAGGTGCACTTGATCCCAAAGCCGGCTGGTCTTCGCATGTGTCCACTGCTCAATACACGATGTCGTGCCGTCTGCAGCTTATCGTTGGGTTGGGACAATAACCCAGGTCTACCGGCAAGCTTGGCATTTATTCGGGGCCGAGTTTCGGCCGGCTGGGATGTGAGTATTGCGGAGATAGGGTGGGGCTAGAGCGGAGCCTGGATGAGGCCGGATATTTGGGCGCCGTACGCGAGTACTGCAGTGACTTAGACATGGTTCGGTGTTACTTATTCCTGCGACCGCAATTGACGATTCCGTAAGTTGGCAGTTGAATGGGTATGAATGACCCGTCTATGATGACGGGAAGGAGTTAACTACGTAAGCACTGATTGGCAGTGGCACACAGTCAAAATAGCCAGGTTCTTACTCATGGACAATTTCAGACCTTGTACAAAGTCACAGAAAGGAAATGTCATTGATTTTGTGTTAACTATTGCAACCTGTGGTACATGTACCGCGTACATAAATCCCCCGATGGTTTCAGCGTAAGCGGTGCGCCTCAGAATTAGTCCCCGAATCCCGCCGCAGTGCGCATAAGGTCATTTCTTAGACATCGGGCCTTATCAAACCGGAAACGATAACATTGGTGCGAATAGCGCCTAGAGCCCTTAGGCAACGCTACGAATGGGCAATCGTAAGTGACTCCTGCCTATGTTGACTATCGACTTTTTCTCGCAATTGACAGCTTGGCAGCTGCCATTGATGACTTGGGAAAGGCGGAGAGATGGGACAATTATTCCCGATTGCCCGGGGGGCGTGTAGGGTGTTGAGCCGTGGTGTTTCCCAATAATCCAATGAGAAGAATGCGTCTGCGCCGCGCCTTCGTCTTTCGACTGCAGGGCACGCCGTACCGCACAATTGAGAGCCGGCGCAATCTTGCACCGGTTTAGTCCACATTGATCCGACTCTATCGCTAGGTCCGTACCTTTTGAAATTCTGCAATCTCACTAGGGGAAGGCATAGGTGCAACCAAGTACGGGTATGGCAAAGCCTTTTTAGTAAAATAAAAACTAACTCTCATCTCTTGTTTTCCGTGCCTCTGTAGCCGGTTCATCACAAAGTTCATCACAGAAATACCGTAGTTATAGCAAGAGATAACTCCGGGGTCTTTCAAATTGTCGTCCTTGAATAGCAAGACACTATTTCCATTATCACAGCAGACAGCATCGCAGCAGCAATCGGAGAGACACCGACACAACACAGTTACAATGACTTCCGCGACGTCAGAGGATCAACCGCGTTCATAGTCTAGTGCCGAGCTGACGCACTCTTATGAGAAGAAGGCCGAGGTCACCCTCAGCCATAGTCACGATACAGCCCCTGGTCTAACAGCACCTATCGATAGCGAGAAGAGGAATGGGAGCGCCGGTGGCGATGACGATAAGCCAGAAGAGGGCGACTGTGCCACCGGTATGAAGCTCTTTATTCTCATGGCCTCCCTGCTCTTGTGCCAATTTCTTGTTGCCTTTGACATGGTAACCCTTTGGTTGCCTCTTCCCACCTATTATTCTTCCACATGACGATATCGACTAGGTACCTTACCTGACAATGCTAACACCACAATGCACTTTAGAGTATCATTGCTACTGCCATTCCTAATATCAATCGCGAATTCCAAAGTCTGGACCAGGCCGGATGGTACGGCTCCGGTTTCCTACTCACACTCGCTGGCTTCGTCTCTCTCTGGGGAAAGGCCTTCAAGCACGCCAGCATCAAATGGGTCTTCTTGCCCGCCGCAGTAGTCTTGAACTTGGCAGTTTAATCTGTGGTAAGTAGCCCATTACGTCGCCAAGTGACCAATACTTAATTGACTGTACTATTGTTGATCTCGCCCCGTGACTCCAGGTTTGGCTGAGAACAGCACAACTCTCATCGTCGGTCGCGCCATCCAGGGCTTTGGAGGTACTGGCATGACAAGCGGAGTCTACCTCATTGTCTCTGTCTCTGTCGTGCACAAGCTCTTCCCCGCCCTTTTCGGTCTTCTGAGTGGCCTTGGTGGCGCCTTTACAGACCGTCTTAGTTGGCGTTGGTGGTAAGTGTCCGAAGCAATTTTTCTTTGATATCTGGCAACTCTTGTACTGACCGGATGTTTCCTCAGATTCTACATCAACATCATCGTCGGGGCGCCCTCTATCCTATTGCTCACTTTCTTCTTCAAGTCTCCTATACATCATAAGATCGAGGTCATCGGCTGGAAGGACTTCATGCATAATCTGGATCTCCCGAGTGTCGTCGTCGTTCTTGGCGGGCGTGCTTCATCCTCGCCATTGAACACGAGGGTGTTATCAAGGCCTGGAACTCGGGTACCGTCATCGGCCTGCTCGTCGCCTTCTTTTTCCTCGTCATCCTCTTGATGGCCGCCTCATGAAGCGTAGGACCATCGCGGCTTGCGCAGTCTTCGTATCCATGTAATACTTCCGTCCTTCTCCCTGTCTTTCTCCCCTGCGGATAAATGTCAGGCACTTTGGCTGACCAGCCTGCGCTCAAGGTCAACTTCTCATTCTTCCCCCTGGCCTTCAATCTTCCCATCTACTTCCAGGCTGTCAATGGGGTTTTACCCCTGCAGAGTGATATCCGTTTGCTGCCAACTATTCTGCCCTTGAGTAAGTCTACCTTTTGAAGAACGAAGTTTGCCTCATCATCAACAAGTCACTAACACCAATCTTCAACAGTCCTCTTCAGCCTTTTCTCCGCTCCTGTTATCGTTCTCGTCGGATGGAACCAGCCGTATCTGATGACCGGTGCATCGCTCGCCGCTATTGGAGCCGGCCTCATTTACATGCTGGACATCGACTCAACTGGCGCGCAATAGATTGGCTTCCAATTTGTCGCCGGCGTCGGCACGGGTCTTGTGATGCAGCCACCAGTCATCATCGCCAACGCCATCACCCCGAATCAAGACAACAGCACGGCAATGTCGGACGTGCTTTTCTTCCAATTCATTGGAGGTACTTTTGGCATTGGCATGGCTCAGGCTATCTTCAACAACGGTCTCATCAGCAGTCTGCCTGAGCTGGCACCGATGGTCTCTCCGGCCGAGGTTCTCGGCATTGGCGTGTACGACTCGAAGAACGTCCTGTCGGGTGATGCTCTGACCGGCGTGTTGAAGGCGTACATGCGAGGTCTGCACAACGCATGGGCCATGAGCATTGCCGGCGCCGCCGTTGCCGTATTTGTTCAATTGCTAGGAGCCTACATGAAGCTTCTTAGGACACTTCCCAAGACCTGGGATGAGAAGCCGACTCTTCACAAGGCCGACGCCTGGTCTTGAACTTCCTCTAGGGCCTCCTTACAGCAGAAAAGCCGAACGTGAAGGACAATAAGTTACACATGGAAACTTAGCAGCAGGGGACTAGGCAATATTCGGCGGGAGCTGATCTCTTCGAGCGACTCCTGTTTCGCCGTTCTGGTGGAGGTTTTGATGAGAGAGTCGGCGTGATTGATCGGGAGTAGATTCGAGTTTAATACATTCGCGGTCAGAGAGTCTATGCGCGCAAGAATACCTATACGCAATGCTGATTGTTCAATGTTATTCAATGTTTGTCATAGCTCTAGTTCTCATCTCGATGTCCTGCTCAACGCTTGCCTAAGTTATCCGTATCTTACGTCAAAACTGAGTTAGTGTGGGCCCTGTGAGTAGTCCCCGGACCGGCCGGTCCGTCCGAACTAGCCCTGAAGATAAATATGTACTTGCGGCCTTTAGGGGCTCTTGCATGCCCCCACCCGGCGCGGGATGGACACAATCGTCTAATGGGTGAGTGATGGGGACGCCATCTGGGTCTTGAATGGTGTCTTCTGCACAAAAGTATCCAAGAAGAGCCCTTCTGAATGTCGTGAAAAAGGATCATTCTTGATTTTTGATACCTGCTGACGTGAGACGGACACAGGGACTTTGGTACATCCGTCTTATTGTGCCACTGGGGCGAGTCCTTTATTAATGCACCTCCGGTGCCGAAGCCCGCGATGCCCTAGCTTGAATAGCCAGGGCCATCATGATTAAACGGCGCTGGGTGGGGGGAGCGGGCTAGACGGGTGCAGTCGCGCGGCACGGCCCGGAGGGATCAATGTTGGTTGGTGGACAATACGAACCACCGGCTTCGCCTCACCTCGCCTTGGATGGGTATGGGCAGCGCGTCCCGTTTTAACCCCCTTTATTACCTATTTAGCCGGCTTGTGTTTTCTTGCTGACCTTTATAATATAACCTATTCGAGAAAAGCCGAGTTGCGCTGCCTAAATCAAGTTACATCGGAGCATCCACAGCTCTTCTTCTGGTCAAACGTTTAGGCATTCCAAGCCTCGGTCAGCTATCAGTCTTACCGTGACATGCATCATGCAAGTGATATCACCTTATTAGGATTCTCCGTCTCTCGTAGATATCTGCTATCGTTCATAACAAGGATGATTTGCATCCGAGAGCACAGCCTTTGATTTCCGGGATTGGAAAACTGACGATATCAGCGATGTTTCATGAAAGATACACCTCCCCTGGGGTCGAATACGATAGCGCGACTAGGAAGCCACTATTACCCTTCCTTAAAATTCTCTCCGTCTGGGTAAACTTTGACTCAGGTTTGCGCTGATGTATTGAACTCCGGAGCATGTCATAAATGTCGGGGTTGATCGTGTATGCATCAGAGCGCACGTGACAGTCTTTTGTTCGCCTCACAAGGCACATTTTCCAAAAGTTCTTAATAACATCCATATGTCAGATCAGGGATCAGGGAGCAATGATTGGAGGTCTTCCTTGTGTTGAAGTAAATCTTATATCCTTTCCGTGCCTAGACATCTCTCTTTCCGAAGGAGGAAAAGAGAGGGGCGACAGAACGCTTTCGACAGCTTGGCATGAGCAACCCCGTAGTCAGCTCTGCTGCAAGTCCGCTAATTGTTGAGATTTATGATTGTTTGTTTGTTTGTTGGATTGTTAGACGTCAGTTCCACCCGCATTGACCCTGATGATGAATAGCTGACTGGCAGATTAGCGAACCAGTAGACTGTCAATACGGATGGCATACGCCGCAATTGTCTCAACAGAGAAAGTGCCTTCTTATCTGTACACCCTTTGCCACAATCTGTAACAGGGGAAACTTGCATCAACAAGACTCAGTAAGGCACAGATAGGTTCCTATCTTCTTTGCACTCCCTTTGCCCCAATCTAATCCTACGACAACTTGCACCAAAGAGACTTAAAAAGGCCTTTCCCCATTGCCTAAATAATCCCCCCTTTGTTCACGGCAAAGGTTCTTTCCGCTTTCTCTCACTCCCAAGTCTACAAATGATGGACAGATGACACCGTCTACTTGCCTTCAGCCGCCTCCTGGACACTCTGTGCTTCCACCGCGATCGGAGCTAGGATTCGACGGCAGTGGTTTCGCAGATCATGAATAGCACTCCTTACAACTGTGATCCTGATCTAGAGTACTCGAACGCAAATGAACGTCGAAGAGCGCAAAACAGGTTGGCTCAGCGCAAATTCCGACGTTAGTGATAGCCCATCTTTGAAACTCCATTCCCCATGAAGAATTACTAACAGTCAGCTTCATGAAAAAGGAAAGAAAGCCCTGGAAAAACAGCCACAACGAATGTCGGCTGGATCCAACGCTGCCACCTGGGATGCACAACATTGCGGCTTTTCGCTTATTGGTCAGAACGGCGAGCCTGCTGACGCAAACTATCCCTTGACTCCATGCTCGCAAGAGAAGGAACACCACTTGTTCGTTGACACCGGATGCCTCTCTACTTTAAACTGCTCCGTCGATAATGACGAATATTCTCATAAATCTACGGACACATTCTTGCCGTTTCCCGAGTCTATGTACTTGTGGAGCGATCGCTTCCACGCATCCCTCAATTCTTCAATCTCGCCGCTGGAAGGGGACGTCAAAGATGACCATGCGCAAACAACAAACGACCTGCGGCTGGATGATTCAGACTCGGTACCCCAGCTCCTTGTTAACACACCAGATTCAAGGGTAGCGAGGCATGTTTACAAGGAGTCTGCGTCGGCCCAGGCTCATTTCTCGAATCCATCTTTTGAAACACCGTCGCCAGCGCTCAGCAACATTACAGAAGCATCCAACAACATCGTCAAACCCATTGAGCCCCTGGTTCCCATTTTACATGTTGCTGCCCGGAGCAGGGACGATGGAATTGTAGCAACACTCCTTCGCCATGGCATGGACGTCGACATTCGCGACCACATCAAGAAAAGAACGGCTCTCCACGTTGCATCTGCGGAAGGCAACAAGGCTGTAGCCGTACTCTTATTACAATACGGTGCTGATTCCAACGCTAAGGATAAGGATGGCTATTCACCGCTTTATCTCGCTGTGAACGCAGGACACAAGGATGTAGTTGAGTTATTGCTAGGATACTGCGAAAAGACTTAAGGTCGTTTACCAGTCAGTCACTCATATCACCCAGTCGCTCCTTTCTAGACATTTAGATTAGACATTCAAAGGAGGACTACAGCACGTTTAAGATTTCTTTTTGGTATTAGAACGAAAGATGAACTCAGCCCATTACCATTACATTACTCCTTGTTCACGCATACTTCTAATTTTCACGCATACGGTATACCTCAATAGCGCTCCCTAATTTACTCCCTAATACTGCATTCACCTGCTCATGTCTACTTTCAAAAGGACTGTTATTAGCGAGCTAGGTCACATGCATCTTTCAAATGGGAAGCGCGCTGCGAGGCACTGAAAATTGTGGTTGGTGTACGGAAACGCTGTAAAGCAAAATACCAACAATGCGAGGCGGCGGAGACAATCACGGTCTACATGCCTCAGCAACTGCCAACAGACGTAATGGGTGATAATCGATGAATCCGAGGTTTGGCCTACGTGGCTTGCAGTGTCCATCTCTTTGTCTCTATGCTTGCTGGGGTACACACAAAACCCCCCAATCAAGTAAGTCATGCCGTGCGCACACATACACAATGGCCGCATCACTTATTGTAGCCAGTCCCTATACCCATCTAAGCCTCTGGCTCGATGTGTTAGCACCGAAAGTTGCTGACTTGTCAAGGCGAGCTATTTCACGAGGACCCTGACTCCTTTACTACCCGGCCATGGCGAAGCCTTCAGCTGCTCGCGGAAGAAATCAACATCTCGTCTAGTCGTCTCGAACAGCTCCAGATCGTGTCGGCGGAAGAGCGTTGCAATACCGATGAAGATCTCTGCATACGCAAGGTTGAGTCCGGTACACATTCGTGTGCCCCGAGCAAATGTTGTGAGGTGGTGAGTAAGTGGTTTGTTGCCGCCAGGGCCCAGTGGGTTTCCAAGCCATCGTTCGGGCCGGAATGTATACGGTTCTGGAAATGCATCCTCGTTCATGTGCATATGGTATTGATCCATGCCTACCGGTGTCCCTACTGGAATGGTCCATTCACGGTACTTCCACACGCCGCTCCGATTAACTCGGGGCAGACGTTCCACGCCCCCAAACGCTATCCGCAGGGCTTTGCATTCGGATGAGACATTAGCACCTCATGTTCGCGAGCTTGTTTGGACCGAAAGTCGGCATGGGATCTCTGAATACTTACTTTCCTTGACCACGGCATTTAGGTAAGGTAATCCTTCCAGCGCTCCCCACGTCATTGGAACGTTAGGATCGGGCATAGCCTCCTCTAATTCGGTCTTGAGAGTCTTGAGCACGCTGGGATTGTCAAGTATGTGGAATGTCCCGATAGTCAAGCTCCACGACGTAGTCTCGGTACCAGCCCCAACCAAGCCGACGGCTTCGTCAATGAGACGGGCGGGCCGTAGTTCATGAGGCGGGAGGTCGGAAGATAGTAGGTCATGAAAAACTGTGGGTTGGGATGATTCCTTTGCTTCTGAGTTTCGACCCTGCATGATTTCTGTTACCTGCTCAGACATTTCCTGTTGATCTAACGTTAGTCATCATTAAGCTTTTTGGGGCTTGTAAGGGTAGAAGAATAACAAGCTAGGGTGGCAGAAGACTTGCCTCTGTAAATTCGATGATGGGTTTGAAGGGAGGAAACAGAGCCTTGGCGAGCTTGTTCGGGAACAGATTCATCAGGGAAAGGATCCAGCCGAAATGAAGCGTGATGTGTGCGTACTCCGACATGTTACGGATAGCCAGGGTGAATGGAGACTTGAAGTCGGGGTAACGGCAAAAGTTCTTAGGCCTCGCAAAGACAATGTCCATGATCGCATCCGCTGTGTAGCAGCTCCACATGTCAGCGATGTCGAGTACCTTGTCTTTACCAGCCCACTCGTCTCGTAGTCGGTCGCAGATGGTGTCAGCCAATTCCTGAATCTGCGCATTCCGCCCGCGCAATCTCGACTTGGCGAAGAACGGACTGATGGCTGCGCGGCGAATACGGTGTTCATCTGATTTGGAAGTGCTGAAAGTGGCTGTAGGGACGTTGAAACGGTACTGAAAGTGCTCCATCTTGTCGTATGCCTTGTTCGTTGCGTAGATGACATCGTAGAAGTCGGCATCATCGACGTGAAGTTCGAAAGGGTTGACTCTCACTATAGGGCCGTAGATGTCGTGCATTCTCTTGATCTCGAAAGGAAACTGGCCGCCACCGTTTTTAACCATATCGAAGTATACCTCGTACCATTGTGTCAAGGCCGCGAGCTTAGGACCGGGAAATTGGGCTAGCGGGCTGAGATACAGGCGGTAGATGGCCAGAAAGAGGCATCCCACAAGCCACACCACACCGATCGACAACAGAAGGATTGGAAATGATAATTTAAGCTCTCCAGAGTTCGCCCACACTCTCTGGGTAGCGAATTTGGAAGTCTTGACCAGGGAATCCATTGTTATTTCCTAAGTGATTTATGCTTTCATAAACATGGAATGCTGTACATGGCGTCGTTGATCATTCAACTTCAGATCTGCCAAACACATGTCTTTATTAGGCCATTCAATGTGACAAGTTCTTGTCAGTCTACGAAACACCAACAGGCCATTCAGCAGAGACGTCGAGAAAGTTTCAGTGTCGCTCGAAAGATCTAGCCTGTCATGCTTACGGTCATTGCATATTGTACCCACAATTGATTTGGTCGCTTGTTCCGCCATTACTTTGCATTACCCGTAATGGGTAAGCAAATCGTCATATACTTGTATGTGCGGTCAGCGGCTAGCCGAGCCCTTGCTGCAGTAATGTTGACTGATGCTCATTCAGGATTCTGACAGGTGTCAATCGTAATATGTTGCACAACATCGTTTTGCAGGATAAGCGATGGCACCCCTGCAAACCATCGCGCCGAAAGGTGGATCAGAACTCCCCAGCACGTCTGTCTTGAGCAAGTCAGTTAGTTGTCAGCTGTCTGAAATGGAACTTAGTGCATGTCACCAGTAGCTTTGCGACCACGATTCTTAAACCAACATCACGTCACGCCTCCTAGGCTGAAACTGAAAATTAGTGTAAACCCTAGACTATGTCACAATCTCAAGGCTCAAACCGTATTGTCGTTTGGATGATTCTAGATTGAAATGAGTCCAGTTATTGAACTGAAAGACTCGTCATTATGGGGCAAAATACGAGTCGGAGCTTGTGGCAATAATACACGTAACACCTCAGTTCAACAACTACTGTTCGATCTTAGGGGGAAATGATTCGCATTAAGAAGTTGATACTATCTGTATACTGACATGATGTGAACTAAACTCATATCACAAAGCCTCCGCCATCGCTGGCTACAGCTAAGACCTTTACGAGAAAGTCCTACTCCGACTCCGACTCAGTTGCCAGTCCTGCAGAGACGCCCTGCAGAATCTGCAGACCAAGACTCACTTCCTACGGCTGTAGGACCGTAGAAGAGATCGAGAGGATCCCATACCTTTTTAATCGCTTTGAGCTTTGCATATTTGCCACCGTAGAAAACAGACTGCCAGTCCGATTGCTGAAAGTTGGCCTCATTCAGATAGGTTCCAGATCCAGGTGTGGCACTCGTCAGAAGGGGGTCGATGATGTTGGTCAACTCGTGTTGCCTAGCAGCCATCTGATCCCAGGGGATCGTCCAATCCCAGACCCCTGCCACGACGCAGCTCACGAGTCCGTCCCGCCAGTGCTCTTGCACCGAGTTATCGGTAACCGGCTGGACACTTGTATTCTCGAGGTTGACTGCCGTACAAAGAAAACTAAAGTGCCCACTGCTAGTAACGCCCCGAAGAGCCCGGCCAACTCCCGTCCTGTTGTTTGCCATGTTATCTCTCGAAATGATTCGACCGGACGTAAGCTGGTTTGATGGCACGTTCGACAGAACCGGTCCTAGTGTCGACATGAAATGCTCGTAGTAGGTCGCTGCGTCGGCTGCGGTGAAGCCCAGGGTTTGGTCGGACAGCCCAAACTGACTCAAGTCGGCTAGCAGTGGGGACAACAGCAGCGAAACCTCGTCAGATGTGCGGTTAGGTGCTGTGATGACGTACACCATAAGGCTGTCTTTGCCCAGCGTGTAAGTGAGGACAATACCATGGTCATCGACAAGTGGCTGTAAATGATTGTGAAAGACATCCACAGCTGCCCAGAAATTCTCGTCTCCTCCAGTGCTAGCGGTACTGAACCCAAGGCTTGCTCGACCGACTGGACCGTCTTCGAAGACTCTAGTCGTCATGGACACTACCACTCCGAAAGTGCCGCCTCCTCCACCGCTCAAGGCCCAGTACAGGTCCGCATTTTCATTTGGTGTGGCAACCACATGCTTGCCATCTGAGGTTACAACCTCCCACTCAAGAACATTGTCGGCGCCGAGTCCGTAAATACCTGATAGGAGGGAATGGCCTCCACCTTGGGCGAAACCACCAGCAATGCCCACAGTGCTACATGTGCCGGCTACCACACGGTACCCATTCTGACTTGCAGCAAGAGCTGCATCACCTCCCATAGCGCCAGCCCCAAGTCTCATGGCGGGACCCTTGTAGTAGAACTTGCTGTAGTCCCGTAGGACTTCGACGCTATTGAGGTGATGTGTCCAGATAGCGAGGCCTCCTTTACCAGTCGATTTGCCGAGGAAGCTATCAGGCCCTGCTTTAGCATATGGGCCAGTCATACATTTGATGGGCGGTTCCAACTTACTCATGGCCTGTGTTCTTGATCACAAGGCGAATGTTATGCTTGTTGGCAAACCGGACGGTCGCAATGATGTCATCGACGCCTCGTACATCCACCGAATAGCTGACATAGTTTTCAAGTGTGCAGGGTTTCGATTCCGATCCGAAGGGATCGCAGCTGTTGTTCAGGAAGTAGGGCGCCAAGATCTCAGCAGGTTCCGGAACACTAGATTTGGCAAGTTCAGTATGAGCTTTGGCGCGAAGGAAATACTGCATACGCAGAGGACTTACTGCAAGCTAGGAAGACCCCACTGTTGCTTCAAAGAGTTACATCTTTCCTCTGCATAATCCGGATCGTGGCAGACGTGGGCGATAAGGACCGTAGCAATGAGCCTCCCGCCAACAGTCTCATTCAAGTGCGACCAGTCACTCGCGCTTGGCCATCCAGCATCTCCAGGGACATATCTGCATGGAGGCCTTGTTGCTGCAGCTGACACGAAGATTGACAGATGATGCAGGCCTGGTTGAAGCAGTACCAGCCAGAAACACAACCATCTCCAAAGATACCGCGAAGTTGAATAGTAAGCCATGGTGATTTGATGCAGGCAAGCCAAGAAATTCTCATACAGGGTTCAAAATGCTGAAACGAGATGTTGTAAGAAGGAATACGGAGGGCAAGTCGTTGCAAAGACGTTGCGAGTATTAGTTGACTAAAAGCAACCCAGCATCTGCGCTCGTGCTTGATTGTTTTAGTCAACGTGCGCTTGACTTGCCGATCAGTCAACTTTTATACCACATAAACATTTCAATGCGGGTATTACGCTCACATTGTGGCTTGTTTTGCCCGATACTTTTGATCTGTCGTCTCTGCATTCGTCGTTCGCTAATTCAATGCACACGCAAACTGCGCCCCTGGGATAGATTACCAACAGCTTCAATGGCGTGTATTGAAGTGGCCCAGCCCTAGCAATCAAATTTACAAGCTACGCCTTCACTGTCTTGAGCTTCTTTTTGGTGCGACGACTATGGCATGATGGAGCTATTTCCGTCAAAGGATCGAAGGATCGACTTGGAATGAACAAACTTGTGCTATCTGGGAATCAAATTACGAGAGTTGGCATGATTGCCGAGAAGCTGAACTAGCGCAATCACACATCTACGCAACGTGGTTTTACCCACCACCCAATCTGAGTGAAGTCAGGGTTGAGATGCAAGGTAAGCTGCGCCGTGTCATGCAGGGCAGACACCGCATATTCGCTTAGGAGGTCATGCTGACCGCCCTGAGGTAAGATTGGCGCAGTCTGGCAGCCAATATGCTAATCTGGCAGGTCTAACTTAGTGCGGCGTCTGATACTTTATGTCAGTGTCTATGAAGAGAGAAGACTTGGTTGGACTTCTTCCACATCGTACGAGTGCGTTGATACTCCATATGGAAGAGATGATCTCTTCTCCGGATGCGTGTCGATAGTCATTGATAGAAAACATTGAGTTCCGTCTCCAAAGGACCCTACAAAGGGGGCCTAGTTGGTATCCATACAAAAAGTCCAGTAGACTCGGTGCATCTGAATTTAGGATTAAATTGACGTGGGCCACTAAACGGTCAAACTTCTGGTTTCAAGAGTTAGAGGATATCAAGTTAGAGTTGAGTCCGATGGAACATGTCTGGAATTGCTTTCTTCAAATTGCATACTTTGAGGTAGTCTTGAGACTTACGATAACTCGCAGCTTCATGAATGACGCGGAGAGTCGATTTATAATCTAGAAAGGGGTTTCTATCCAGACACCTAATCATGTCACTCGCAACATTTAGATTAACTGAGTACCGACTTCAGAAATTCGACTTGAGCACCAAGCACCTTAGCGAAATCGCTGCCACTCAATACGTTCATATGTCCCTTCCCTGCAACAACGAGATGGCGCTTGTTCCGGCCCTCAATCCGGTCGAAGATGAGATTCTTCTGTTTTTTGGCTGGAGAGACAATGTCGTTCTCCGGCGTAACAATCATGACCGGTGTCGGAAAGACATAGGGAATCATTCCCAGAGGTTGCCAGGCGGCGATGTGATAGTAGCTCTTCAACGTAGTGGACATTCTGAAGTCAGGCACTAGGGACTTGGCTCCCACAATCAGGTTAAATCCTTCCTTGTCGATTCCAGAACCGAATCCGGCCGGGTTTTCGCCAGACTCATTCACCATAGGCAGGGTGAACGCCTCGTTCCCACTGAGCTGAGATTCGCGATCTCTCATCGCTTTTGCCAGTACTTTGGGCCACTTCTGTCCGGGGTACTCAAATATGGTGAGAGGAGAGACGGCTACGACAGCTTTGGCGCGCTTATCGAGTGCGGCCGCATTGAGTGCCACCATGCCGCTGAAGCTGAATCCCCAGTAGGCGATGCGTGAACTGTCAACGAGCTCTTGGGATTTGAGAAAGGTCAACGCATCATGATAGTCCTCCACATTGCGGGTTGGATCAATTTCGTTGCGTGGCGACCCTTGGCTCTGGCCGATTGACCGTGGATCAAACACGAGAGCTGTAAACCCTTCATGCTGGAAAAACTCTGCGATCTCTGCGACGAAAATCTCCTTGGTGGAGTTGAACTTTGCTCGGGCGCGTTAGAAGACAGGATCGTGAATTGCCTCTGGGGCAAGACAACACTTACCCCTGGGGTTAAGATGACTCCAGGGCCTTTTTGTGCGGCGGGATAAAGATTTCCACGCAACTTCAAGCCGTCGACCGTCGGAAACTCGACATCTTGGCGATGGGCCATCTTGTATTTGCAGTAGTTTAGCAAGAAGAGAAATACCTTTGCAGTATAAAAATCGGGTTCCAGTTGTCGCTGTGCCAGGGAGTCTGGTGTTTATGGTATGCCGTCGATTGTTGCCCTCTCTGTACTTGCGCAACCTCAGATTGCCCCTATCCGCTTAAACGGCATTGAAAAGGCTGCCTCTGAACTGACCGACAGGGTTCATGCCGAATCACTCCTCGAAGGATGTTGGTTACATATGCATTGTCGTCTTACCTCCTGGTTCATGCACGTAATCACATCTTGCCTTGCAGAAATTTCTTTGCATACTGAACAGGTAAGTAAGCATGACGCTGCACATCTTACGCTGTCATCGCAATACCGAATTTGGACATCTGCGGCTACTAGATTGGGCTGGATTTTGGTTGTGAGAGTGTCATGATTCTGCTATCGAAAATCAAAGACAGTTTTGCTAGGTCGTGGAGGCTTTGATTCCATGCACTTCACAGATTGATTCTCACATCGAGTCAGGCCCATAGTAGTCACCGACTATGGCAATTCGAAAGGGCAGTTGATAGATAAATGTTTTATTTATAATAGTTCATTGACGAGTTGGCATTGCTTTTATTAAATGGCTTTCGTCGATGCTCTTTTTAGTTTCCCGGGAATCAAGATCATTCTGGGTCTAAGAAAACTCAGAAATACGTTTTCTTTCACAATTTCCCTTCCGCTCCGACAATTATCTTGCTAGCAAGATGAGTGATATTACGCCCCCGGAAGCGGATACTAGGTCCCAGTCGGATATCACGAGCGAATGTTCCAGCAAACTTGGTGTCGATGATGCAGTCCCTAACGACACACTAGGTGTCAATGAACACCCCACTCAAGCACCCATCGCCGTTGTTGGGATAGCCTGTCGCCTTCCTGGACACTGCAATTCGCCTCATGCCCTATGGAAATTTCTCGAGAAGGGCGGCATCGCTGAGAACACCCCGCCGGAGTCAAGATTCAATCTCTCGGGGCACTTCGATGAGCACAGGAGACCAAGGACAATGAATTCGCCAGGCGGCATGTTCATGGAGGACGTCAACCCTGAATTCTTCGATGGCCAGTTTTTCAACATCAGCAAGACCGACTGCATTGCAATGGATCCTCAGCAGAGGCAACTGCTCGAAGTTACCTACGAATGCCTTGAGAACAGTGGTGTTTCTCTCGAGATGGTGAGCGGTAAAAGTATTGGCTGCCTCGTCGGGGCCAATGCTGTAGGTGAGCTGTGAACCTTTTTCCCTGCCGTGGAAATTATCTTGCTTATTAGGATATCAGATTATGAGGCTATTCAGGCTCGGGATCCTGAAGACCGACCAGACTCGGCCACGATTGGAGTTGCTAGAGCTATCCTTAGTAATCGAATAAGCCACTTTCTAAATATCAAAGGACCTAGGTATGTTGGCCTCGGGAGACGAAATGTTGGAATCTTTCCTTCCGTACCTCACGAACTAATGCATGATGCCTGTGTAGCATGACGATCGACACTGCGTGTTCTGGAAGCCTGGTATCCGTTGATGTCGCTTGCCGTTATTTGAGCGCCAACCAGGCAGACGGGATGATCGTCGCTGGGGCTAACATGTGGATCAATCCCGAGCATAACGAAGAAATTGGCATGATGCGTGCTACTCAGTCGGCCTCGGGGAAATGTCACACTTTCGATGCCAAGGCAGACGGATATGTCAAGGCCGAAGCCATCAATGCCGTCTTCCTGAAGCGACTGGATGATGCTGTTCGTGATGGCGATCCGATCCGTGCTATCATCCGAGGAACCTCCACAAACAGCGCAGGTCGAACTCCAGGTCTTGCTAGCCCCAGTTCCGAGGCCCAAGCAGCTGCTATACGCGCAGCATATGCTAATGCTGGGATTTCCAAGTTCAGCGACACAGGATATCTCGAATGCCACGGAACCGGCACCCTTGCTGGAGATCCGGTCGAGGTAACTGGCGCTTCGGCTGTCTTTGCCGCACAACGAACCGAAGACCTCATAGTTGGCTCAATCAAGAGCAACATTGGCCATTCTGAGGCGGCTGCAGGTATCTCGGCCTTGATCAAAGCCATATTAGCCGTGGAGCGCGGATTGATCCCTGGCAATCCCACGTTTGTCGACCCCAACCCCAATATCGACTTCAAAGGCCTTCAAATCAAAGCCACGAAGGATCTGGTTCAATGGCCCTTGTCTGCAAAGCGTCGCGCCAGCGTGAACTCATTTGGCTTCGGCGGCGCCAATGCCCATGTCGTCCTGGACGCTGCCAACCACTCGCCCCATGTATCATCCTACATTCAAAATGTTGGAGATGACTTTTTTGACTTGGGAGACGACGAAGATATTTCTGATGTGAGACCACACCTTTTCGTCTTCTCAGCCAACGACGAGAAGTCCCTCAAAGACAGCGTAAAGAGTCTCGCGGGGCATTTGCTGAACCCTGGCGTGTCTGTGAACCTCAACGACTTAGCGTACACGCTCTCCGAGAGACGCAGCCGTCACTACTGCCGAGCGTTCGGTATTTCAAAGACTGCTAGTATCTCCCAGGAGTCTTTGGTCTTCGGGAAGAAGATGGCTTCCCCCAGACCGGCCTTCGTCTTTACCGGTCAGGGGGCACAATGGTCCGAGATGGGTCGTGATCTAGTCAAATTATTCCCTACCGCCAGACGCGTTCTGCAACACCTTGACACGACGCTCCAGAAACTGCCGTTACCTCCAACATGGTCAATTATTGAGGAGTTGACTGAACCTCGCGCACCAGAAATTCTGCGCCAACCGGAACTCTCTCAGCCACTCGTTACTGCACTCCAATTAGCCATCGTTCAGATCTTCAAGGAGTGGAATATCACCCCAATAAGCGTCGTGGGCCATTCGTCCGGCGAGATAGCCGCCGCAGCCGCCGCAGGGCTCATCACTTTCGAAGATGCCATCACGGTAGCCTTTTACCGTGGCCAAGCTGCAAAGGATTCCACTTTGCAGGCCCCGTTGGGGATGCTGGCTGTCGGCATAGGCGCCGATGAAGTCGCGCCGTACCTCGATGATGCCGCTAAGGGAGCTCAAATCGCATGTTATAACAGCCCGAACAGCTTGACACTTTCCGGTCCAGTTTCGGCTCTGAAGGGAATTGAAGAGCGTCTCAAAGAAGCCGGCCACTTTGCGAGGCTACTGCAGGTTGACCTTGCGTATCACTCTGAATACATGACTAACATCGGTGAGACCTACGAGAGCATTCTGCTAGGAAGGCAACTTCCAACTGCCACTCAACAGAAGCCGGAAACAGCTGTCAAGATGTTCTCTTCAGTCACCGGTCAGCTCTTGGACACCCTCCCTAACGCCGCCTACTGGAAGAGAAACATGGTACAGCCGGTGAGGTTCTCCCAGGCCGCCTCTTCTCTTCTCCAGGATCAGGACGCTGCGAACTTCATGATCGAGATTGGCCCGAGTAATGCTCTCTCTGGTCCTCTGTCCCAAATCAAGAAAGGAATCTCAGGGGATGCTTCGAGCTTCCAGTATGTCTCAGCCCTGAAAAGAGGCAACGATGCCGCGCTTCATCTATTCGACGTTGCGGGACGCTTGTTCCTTGCAGGAGGCTCTGTCGACATAAAGCAGGTCAACCATGACAACACTACTCCGAGACCAGCTTTCATCGTGGATTTGCCAAATTACTCATGGAACCACTCCACGAGCTACTGGCATGAACCACTAGCTAGCAAAGACTGGAGGTTCAAAAAGTTCATCAACCACGATCTGCTCGGCTCGAAGATGCTCGGAAGCCCTTGGCCATCTCCTATCTTCCAGAAGACGTTGAAACTGGCAGACATGCCCTGGCTGGAAGACCACAAACTGGGAAATCAGGTTGTGTTTCCGGGTGCGGGCTATGTTGCAATGGCCCTTGAGGCGGCGTATCAGACGGCGATGGTGACAGAATGGAAAGAAACTGCCCCCACTAAATACCGGTATCGTCTGAGAGATGTCAAGTTTTCTCGCGCAATGGTGCTTGAGCGGGATGTAGAATCACGATTTACACTCTCGCTCACACCTGTTCCTGGAACGACTCGTTCATGGTACGAATTCAGAGTATCCTCGCAGAGAGACTCGATCTGGACGGAGCACAGCACCGGCCTGATTCGCATCGAAGCCTCTTATCCAGACGAACCCAGTCCCAGCGCAGCAACGGAGCCGCTTCGCTTCCCAAAGCCGGCCAGCTCCTGGTACAAGGCGATGGCGGATGCGGGATACAACTTCGGCACCGCGTTCCAGAAGCATCTGGAAGTTGAGTCTACAACGGGGAAGAGAGAGTCCCGGTCACTTGTATCACTTGAGCCTCCCACATCTACCTACGGACAGTCTTTCTACCCAATGCATCCAGCTTGTATCGACGGTTGCTTCCAAACTGTCTCTCCGGCTCTTTGGGAAGGTGACAGAACCAGCGTTGGAGCTGTCCTTGTGCCCGCTGTGATCAATAGTCTCGTTATCACCGCTCGGCAGGAGCAGCCTGTGCAGGCAATCTCAGTCGCCTCCGCAAAGTACCTGGGCATTGGGCGGACGGATTCGCCTAGGAATTATGGTACGGACTGTTCTGTGTACGATCCAGCCACCGGGAATCTTCTGCTTGAGATGAAAGGTCTGCAGTTCGGCGAACTCGAGACAAGTGAGGAGGAGGTAGCAGGGCACACATTCACTCACCTGTCGTGGGATGTCGACATCTCAGCACTGATTCAGCAACCAGGCGAGAAACTCTTGGAGTTCCTCAATGCAGAGATTCGGGGCACACCAGCTGAAGGAAAGGACGATGAAGGGGGCGTCGAATTTCAGCCCAGGGATGTCGTCGCTCAGCGCATCCTCGACCTCATTGCGCACAAGCAGCCAGTGATCAATGTTCTGGAGCTGAACCTAGAACCGTCCGATAACACGAGTCTATGGCTTCAAGCGACTTCCCAACACAGCAGGGCGATGAGAGCAGCCAACGCCAGGTACCATCTCACTTCAACAGACTCCAATACTCTTGTGAACATGCAAGAGCAATTTTCGTCACCCAGTTCAAGTCAGACATTTGGCTTGATTGACAGGTCAAAGCCTATTCTGATTGCAGACGATTGTCAGTTTGAGGTTGCCATCATTAAGTCCTCGCCGTCTGTCAGCTACAACGATCTACGGAGCTACATAGACAGCGTTCTCGCGTCGATGACGCCTGGCGGATATCTTGTTTTCGTCCAGGATGAAAGCGCCATCTCAGCTGATCAGATTCAAGATCTTTTTGGTGACAAGACTGCCCAGTTGCAGACGCTCAGACATGATGTCTGTCTTGGAAAAGTGGCCTCTCCGAGTGTGGGTGGCTACTTTACAGGTTCAAAGCCAATAAGCCACGTTAGTCTCACCAACAACACTGGCAGCCAAGTCTCTGAGGACATTTGCCGCCTTCTGAGAGGCAGGTGGAATATACAGAGGTCTGTTGATCCTGGGAAAGACATCGCCCCCGGCCAAGCCGTGCTGGTCACAGATGAAGTCGTCCAGTCCGTTATGGACTCCCTTGATGATTCTCAGTGGCAGCTCTTGCAACACCTCATTCAAACTGAATGCAACATACTGTGGGTTACAACGGGCGCACAGCTCAGTGTCACCGATCCCACTAAGGCAGCTATCAACGGCTTTTTCCGCGTCCTGAGAGCCGAAGAACCGCGGCTACGACTGGTCACCTTGGATGTTGAAGACACCGACGTAGCTTCAGTGGCCGAGCGCGTCAATGCTTGCCTCGCGCTGCTAGACCAGGGTATTGAAGCAGAGCGGCTTGACAGCGAGTATGTGGAGCGTCAGGGAGTGCTGCAAATCAGTCGAGTGGTTCCGAACGAGGAACTCACGCAGCTCCAAAGCGATGAGATCAGTGATTTCAAGACTGAAACGGTTGAGCTGCATACCAGTGAGTCTTGCATCCGGCTCCGGGCTGAGAGGCTTGGCAATGTGGACGCGATTCATTATGGTGAGTTGTCTGCCGACTCCCTCCCGTTACGAGACGGCCACATTGAGGTGGAGCTTTACGCAGCAGGCATGAACTAGTAAGTATTCAGATGCTTCCACTCCCCAACACAGTCCTGGCATGTTCTTCTTCCAAGTGGGCATAGGGCCTACTCATGCTTGAACTTGACACTGTCAACGCGGTGGCTATGGCTCAATACTGACTACGGGTCAACTCTATAGTAAAGACGTCGTGGTGACCATGGGAATTGTGCCCGGAAATGAGCATACTCTTGGCGGCGAGGGTAGTGGTATAGTCACCAGAGTCGCTAGGGACGTAACATCATTTGAGCCCGGGCAGCGAGTTGTTGTTTTTGATAAGGGAACGTTTGCGAACCGGATCCAGACAACCCCCGGACGAGCGCACAGAATTCCCGATTGGATGTCTTTTGAAGAAGCGTCCACTCTGTCAGCAGTGTATCTCACGTCTATCTACTCGCTGTTCGACATGGCAAACCTCGTCTCGGGGCAACGAGTTCTCGTACACTCCGCGGCCGGCGGTGTCGGAATCGCATCTATTCAGCTGTGTCAGTATGCTGGTGCCGAGGTAAGTAAAGATATCCAGCCATCTTGATCGTTTGCTCATACCTGACACTTATTTCATAGCTGTTTGTCACGGTTGGGACAGAAGAGAAACGAGAGTATCTCAAGACGACATTCGGTATCACGGATGATCACATTTTCTCATCACGAACAGCAGAGTTCGCGAGACAGATCTTGGCGGCTACTTCTGGCCGCGGAGTCGATATCATCCTTAACTCCCTTACGGGTGACCTTCTTGATGAGTCTTGGCGCATCCTTGCTGATGGTGGAACTTTGGTTGAGATCGGAAAGAAAGACATACTTGATCGCAACAGTCTTTCCATGGAGCCGTTCGATAGGAACATCTCTTTCAGGGCGGTCGATATGTCCCACGAGAGAGCTCCGGATCATCTTGTGTCCAGGTAAGGAAGACTCAGCCCCAAGAGAAGATTTATTTCTTCCAGTAAGAAAGAGGCACAATAACAGGTGATTTTTCTTTTCGGCAGGCTTATGACCAAATTATTCGAGCTCGTGAACGAGGGTCACGTCCGACCAATCGCTCCGATCCATCGATTCTCTTTCTCAGACGTTCCTTCTGCTATCCGCTTTTTGAGGGCTGGAAAGCACATTGGGAAGGTCGTCATCTCTGACGGGCCAACTGGTGAACCCACGGTTCAGGTATGTACAGTCTTCGTGGTTCCATCCACCGCTACCAGACGGTGGCTGCTATATTCGATGTTTGTACACTCCATGCTGACTACGTCTCTAGGTCCGGCGAGCTCCGAAGGCGATCACGTTCCGAAATGACCGTTGCTACTTGATCGTCGGCGGCCTGAAGGGACTTTGCGGGTCTCTGGCTGTGTATCTAGCCAAGAGCGGAACAAAGCACCTTGCTGTCATTTCTCGGAGTGGGCATTGCGACGAGAAGTCCCGTGGAGTCATTGAAGAGATCAAAGCCCTGGGGAGCGACATAGATTGCCTCACAGCAGATGTAGCGATCGCAGGCGATGTGGAACGAGCTTTCCGCTCAACACAGCTCCCTATTGCCGGCGTCATCCAGGGAGCTATGGTTCTTAGAGTATGTCAAATCCCTCTTGTCTCTTATCAGAGAAATTCTTGAGCAGGGGTGGAAGTAAAAGCTAACGCGACTGACGTTTGTAGGATCGGACGTTCTCCTCAATGACAATCGACGAGTATCACGCAGCGTTGGCTTGCAAGATTCGCGGAACTTGGAATTTGCACAATGCCGCTGAAAAATTAGGCCTGGAGCTTGATTTCTTCACCATGCTCTCCAGTATCTCAGGCGTGGTGGGCCAAAAGGGCCAGGCCAATTATGCGGCCGGCAACGCATTCCTGGACTCCTTCGCTAGCTACCGCCAGCAAAGGGGCCAGCCGGCCGTCTCGGTCGACTTGGGCGTTATTGAAGACGTTGGCTACATCCACGAGAAAGACGGTATGCAGCAGAAGCTCGATACGAGCATATGGACTGGAATCAACGAGCGACTTCTGCGCAAAATAGTATACCTCTCAATTCTGCAGCAGCAGCAGCAGCAGGCCGGGCTCGTCGGTCCGAGCGCAGCGTCATCGGCTCAGATGATTACGGGCATACCAGTGCCCCAGCCCGAGAGATCGCAATTACTCCCAGATGCCCGCTTCGCCGCGCTGTTTTCTCGCAGCGGTAACGGCGGCGGAGGGGCGGGCGTCAAGGATGACTCGGGCTCCAAGGATGTGCAGGCGTTGCTGATCCTTCTCCGCTCCGGTGGCGCCGACCTTGCGGCTCAGGTGGCCGCGACGGTGAATGTTGTCGGCCAGTGCGTCATGCGGGTCTTGAGGTTGTCGGAGCCGATGGAGACCAGTCGGCCATTGTCCGTGTACGGGATCGATTCGCTGGCAGCTGTTGAGATGCGGAACTGGATTCGGGCGGAGCTCGGCGCGCTGGTGACGACGTTGGACATCATAAACGCAACGTCGCTGGATGCGCTCTGCAAAAAGATTGTATTGAAACTGACGGCGACCTCTATCGCTGAAGCTTAGATTTCTTATTAAATAACAGATTTCTATTCACGTATTGACGAAGTGAGATGAAGATAGTAAAGTTGGAAATGTGTCGACATGCATTGCGAGTTTGAAGTTCTCAAACAAATCACCATCATTAGCAGCAGGGTCCTTATACGAATATTCCATGAAATGTTGGTCGTGGCTGGAATGACATCGCCGGGGACTTTGGTTTAGAATCAGAGACAGCTCAGAACATGCACACAAATCATCAAAATTACCAGTCTACGACTCCACATAGTAAGGCGAGCACTCAATAAGGTAGTCATCCCAGTGTCGTTCTGACCACCCTCGCATGGCTTCTTGCAGTCTTAATGTTCATGAACTCATGCAAAATTGCATAATATTCCTCTTCTCCTCTAGCATTCCGCTCGAACTTCCAGCAAAACGTCATCATCCGACGTGTACAGCTCCCTCGCTTTGCACATCTCCCTGATGATGAAAGATTATGTCCAGTGCCACAATGATACTATCCTCATCCGTAGGGTGCTCAAAAAAGCATGAGTGCAAACGAACTGAATACGAGCGCAGAAAACGGGAATAGGCCCGGTACCTGATGAGAAATCCGCCCAAACTCCGCTCGGAGTTGGGGGGTTGGTTCGACCAAGCTTATCTTATGCGTGGTGTAGCTGCAGGATACCATGCAATGCAAGGTAAGCATGACATGTAGGCTCCCTTTTCCGCTCCCAACACATTGACTGGGCTTCCTCACATGTAAGGCTAACTACAAAGCCATTGCATGGCCGAGACGCGTTTATTCAAATTCAGCAAATGCGGCGCGGGTAATATTTTACCACAACATAAAGAGTCTGGAAGGCCCTTCAATTTCTCTACATTATTCCGCGGCTTCTGTTCAAATTACACGACAACATAAACGACGCTGAAACACCACCACATACACCGGTGGCTGCCATGTCGCTCGCTTCTGTGCGCAACATGCGCTCGCAATGGTTTCCCCCGAGACCGAGCTTCACCGAGCATCAAGCCCCGTCACAAATCGGCCGCGTTTTCATCGTCACGGGTGGCAATGCGGGTGTCGGCTACGAGCTTGTCAGAATCCTCTACACTACCGGCGCCACTATTTACATGGCGTCGAGATCAAAAGTCAGTTTAACCTTATTTATATGTGCATTGGAAACAGTGATCCTCCTTCTCCACTTGGCCCGTCTAATAAATGTTACCATCATTCACTCCTAACTCCAGCGCTGACCATTCGACTCGTTCAATAAGTAGGAACGAGCAGAGAAGGCCATTGAAGCAATCACGAGCGCCGCCCCAGCCCCCAAAACCCCCGGCCACATCAAAGTCCTCCCTCTTGACCTCAACGACCTCGAAAGCGTAAAGGAAGCCGCCGCGTCCTTCGCTCAGCAAGAATCAAAATTAGACGTCCTATGGAACAATGCCGGAACTGGCGCACTAGGCGTCGAGGTTGGTGCGCGGACAAAACAGGGCTTTGAAGCTATGGTTGGCATGCATTGTATCGCAGCGCAGCTCTTTACGCAGCTGTTGATTCCCCAACTCCGTGCAGCCGTCACCACCGCTCCACGCGGTTCGGTTCGCGTCGTGTGGACCTCCAGCTTCCTGGGCGACGCATCGTCGCCCACCAACGGTATCGATTTCAGCACTCTTGAAAAGGGCACTTCGGATCGTACCAGGAACTACGCCGTATCGAAAATCGGTAACTGGGTGCTGGGCCGCGAGATGGCTACCCGCTATCCTGACATCGTTTCCGTGACGCAAAATCCTGGGAACCTCAAGGCTGGCTCGTACGCTGGGACGCCCACCTTAGCTATGTTCTTTATTAACCCCTTACTCCACGACCCTAAGTTTGGCGGATATACGGAGCTCTTCGCGGGCCTGTCGCCCGAGGTTTCTCTCGAGAATAACGGCGCATACGTTATCCCTTGGGGACGCATTCGCTCAGACTCGGACTGCCCAAGGAAGGATATTATTAATGCGTTGAAGCCTGAAGCCGATGGCGGTTTAGGGTACACTGCGAAGTTTTGGGACTGGTGTGAGGAACAGTGGAGGCCATTTGCCTGAGTTGCCTAGGCTGCTTCACTGTCTAATGCATGTAGTATAGATGGAGCCAATTTGGTGGCATTCCTGATTGCTTCGAGTTAGTTCTACTTTCCACTTGTTAGAGAATGCGTATGTCGCGGCGCGATGTTCATACTGAAACGTAGATATACTGAATAAAGCTGCAATTTCTATTTAAACTTCCCTTGCTTCTTTGGATACTAGTTTGGGAGAAAATAAATGCTACGATCAACTGTCTTCTTTCTAATGCTCTAGAATATAGCTCTCGTAACCCACCCTTATATTTTAAAGGTCGCACCTACTTAAAGCTAAAAAGATATATAAGACTAGGTATTTACTAATCGCCACCGACTTAGTATTACGGCTAGCTAGTTGTAGTAAGTATGTTTATAGAAGTTAAGGCTACGATACTAAATAAATAATATATTGTAGTTATAGATAGTTTCCCTAAAGCTATATTTATAAGTCGTAAAATAAGTAAAGCTTTAATAATTAATTATAGTTTTATTAAAAAGGTTCTTAATAAAGATAATTAAAAATAATTATAAAATTTAATATTAAATTAATTATTAAAGAAGTTATAAAAAGTCTATCCTTAAGCCCGGCTTAAATTTATTTTATATATAACGTATATAATAAGCGAGTGGGCCAGACAAGCGAGTGGGCTACTTAACTACGACTATATGATATAAAGGTGTAAATATTAATAACTGCTTTATTTATTTAATCTAAAATATTTAGAGTCCTCTTCTTTAGATATTTCCTTATTGAATTAATATGTTCGTATATTATGATTAGTGTTCCTGTAGACGCTATATCGTTATTAGCCCGTCTTAATCCTCGGTTAGTAACTATTATTTTAGTGTGTTTCCTCCTTTATCTAGGCTATAGCCTCTCTTTACGACTAAAGGTCCTCTCCCTTAGCTATAGTAAGACTTCTTCCTTATTAAAGACGGTTTTTCTTAGCTCTCTAGCGTCGATTAAGTAGGTTATTCTCTTTTTAAAGGATCTAGTTTTTAGATCTTAATAAAGCGATCTAGTATATAAACCTACGAGCCCTTTTAGATAGATACTCTATAGTTTTAATAATTGAAGTTAGGGAGCTATTTTGATAATAAGCGATTTTATTCTTAATAAGTTATGACTATAAAGACGCCTCGGTTAGGTTATTTAGTATTTAAGAAGTCTATACCGGGGGTATTATTGGGAGGGATCCTAGAGGTATCGGAGTATATAACTTCACGTTAAGCTTTAAAAGTATACTCTCTATATTTAAAAGTATAAGCCCTACCCCTCTAAATCCTCCCTAGATGTTTTTCTTAGTTATCGTTTGCGTAAAAGCCCTGTGAAATGCCGGGAAGAAGTCCTCTTTAGTAATATATATATTGTCCCGACGTATTTTATCCTTAATTTCTTAACTATATGCCATTTTAAAAGGCCTAAAATATCTAATATTTAAGGGCTGGAGTAGATAAGATAAATAAGCCGGTATATATAGAGTAATAATATTATTCTTTTTATAAAAAAGCTTAAAATCTATAGAGTAATAATTTTTGTATCTGTTGATAATGAGGAGGCGATATTGACCTTTTTTATGCGGTCTTGTATGCTGTTTAAAGTACCGAGCTTAATTTAGGCCTTTTTTATTTATTATTTATTTAGTTTTAAACGTTATAATAACCTAATTATATAGGAGACTAGATTCTGTATACTAAGTAGAGAGGTAATACTGGCCTATAACGATGATATATGGCGGAATATTATAACCTGACGAACTAATAGCCTGAATAACTATAACCTATTTACAATTACTAGGCTATATTATTTTTGTATTTAAACGCCTTTTGGTATTAGTTATGACTATACCGGTTGAGATCTAGCTTATTATAAAGCTAGTTTTATTAAAGTTATAGATATTTAAGTTTATAATACTATACTTTACGATTATGTTCGCTATAAATAAGAACTATACGTTTATTACAACTGGATTTTTATATTAGGCCCTTTTGTAGTCGTACTTGTGAAAATGACGTGTTTATAATTATAGTTATTGCTTTACAAAGTTCGAAGCCTATCGCTTCCTAATATAGGGCGCATCACGATTTACGAATAATTGATTTGCTATTTCTTTAATATTACGAAGATGGGGAGGAAAAGATCTGGTATCTAGGTCGAGAATATACTTAATTAGCTTTTTCTTTTTTAGCAGCGTTAAATTCCGTAAGTTGGGTATATTATTACGTTGTAATAACGTTCCTTTTAATCTGCGGCCTAAGGTAACGTGACTGATGTTATAGATCTTTGCTGCGGCCCGAATATTAAGGTTTCGGTCTTTTTGGATAGCCTGAACTGCTAAGTTTAATTGAGTATTTTTGATATGTACTGTTATTGTTTTTGATGGAGAAATGTGTGTTATGATGATGTAGGTGGCACTATGGCGGTTGGGTGGCCCACTCGCTTGTCTGGCCCACTTGCTTATTATGTACGTTAAGTTCTATATATGTTACGGCTAGGCTAATTGTAATAAGTATATTAATAAAAGTTAAGGCTGTAAGGGCTAAATAAATAGTATAGTAGTTATGGATAGCTTCCCTAAAGCTATATTTATAAGTCGTAAAATAAATAAGGCTTTAGTAATTAATTATAGTTTTATTAAAAGGTATTCTTAATAAAGATAGCTAAAAGCGATCGTAAGATCTAATATTAAATTAATTACTGAAGAAGCTATGGAAGTCTATTCTTGGGCTCGGCTTAAGTCTATACTATATATAAGTCTCGTTCTTAAATATATCCTTTATCCGTATATCTACTTAACGGGCTCTATATTCTGAATATACGGGCTTTATATTATAAAAGGACGGGATCTGTATTTTTAGTATACGGATCCCTTTATCTCTTATTATTACGTAACTTAATCTATAGTTTTTCCGTTCTATTGGGGTGATGTATATATTCCGTTTATCTATATATATATAGTCGTATTATAGCCACTATAAGGCCGCGGGGCAGGCCCTAGTCTTAGTTATATATGTTAGGTCGTAATATTAGGTCTCCCTTCTAAAGGTCTAGTCCCGTAGACCTATAAATAAGTATTTATAGCCTAGGTTAGGGTCCGTCAAGTTTGCTTATTGCAATGTACTAATACGATATTAGGTCGTATTAAAAAACATTCTTCGAAAAATACTATTTTAAAACTTTGCTTAGCTTATAACGACGTATTTAATCGTTTTGGTTTTAACGACGTTATGCCTTATATTCGATATTTTCGTATTAAGCGCCCGTACCGAATAGCTAACGGCGTAAAGACATACTAAGGTTATAAAAACCTAAAGCGTCCTTGCGACGGTCTTATTATTGCGTCGAGTCGTAAGTATATTATTTCTATCTATCGTAACCCTTTTTTATTAATATTTTTTTTTAATGCGATGGCTAAGTAATTAGCGTTAAAAATAGGAAGAGAAGGAGGAAGAAGCTAGTAATGCTTTACTCGATCTTTATAAAAAGCTAGTTCGGATATAATCTAAGGTCTCTAAGGTAGCAGGTCGCCTTGCTTGCATTTGGGCGATTTGTAAGAAGGTAAAGGAGAGGCATATAGAGACTTTTTCTTATAGTATATAGGAGTTAGAGGAGGAAAATAATATCCTTCTTATATTAAATACTTATAAGCGGTGGGTCGTAAGTGACCTCTAGGCTATTAGCGTTCCTAACGATATTAATTGGTCTTCTTTTAGGATTAGCGATAAGTTTACGTCTTTAGGACCGTCAGTACCGTCTTCTAGTAATCCTTAAGAAGTTGTTAGGAATTCTAGAGGTTTATAATAGGTTCTTATATATTTTCCTCGTATCTATAGTATTTCTATTTAATTAGGAACTTTTGTATTCCGTTCTTAATTCTATTGTCGATGATTCGTTCGATTTCGTATTCTAGTTCGTTAGGTTCCACGATAATATAGTCCTTTATATATAAACCCTTAGGTGCTAATTCGAGAAGTGAAATATAAAAGACTGGATAATATTTTATTATATTTAGGAGTCTCAATTTATAATTGATTAGTGAGACTTTCTAGATGATTTCGAAAGGTCTAAGTTTTTTATAGTTTAATTTGTCGCTTAATCGTTTTGTTTTAATATTGCGGCGAAGGAGATAGGTACTATCCCCCTCTTTTAAGGTTAGTCCTCTAATCCTTGATTTATCCGCATTTTTCTTTATATATTAGTATATAAACTCGAGGTTTAAAGATACCTTCTTTTAGAGTTCTTTAAGTTTCGCTATGTCTATTACTACTTTTATAGCCTATAGTCCTTGTCGTGCTTCTTTATATACTATTGGCTACTAAGTAGAATAGGGATTCTTATGTGCTTTTACCAACTACATTATTATATATAAATTAGGCTATTGGTAATAATATTACCTAATTATTTTAATCGTAGTTTATATAATAATGGAGGTATATTTCGAGAATCTAGTTGATTTTTTCTATCTGACTATCGGTTTATAGATAGAAGGCGGTTAATAGTTTATGATTTGTACTAAGTTACGTAATTAGGGATCTCTAAAACTTTAAGATAAATAGAGAGCCTCTATTAGAAATTACTTCCTTTAGCGTACCGTAGTTAATAATAACGTTTTTAAGGAATATATACGTTAATTCTTTAGCGCTACTAGCTTCTTTATAGGGTATAAAGTGGGCGAACTTAGTAAGTCGGTCAACTATAATTAAGATGTTATCGTATTATATATTCGTAAGTAGTTCTTTAGACTTTAGTAATTTAATAATAAAGTCTTATAAGATCGATTACTATACTTCCGTTAGTAGTTATAATAGTTATAGCTTACTGTATAATTTATATAGGCTATTTTTATTTTTTTTATAGGTCGCGTAGTCCTTAATTACTTCCGTAATTTTAGCGCGTATAACGGATTTATTATAGTACTAACAAATCCGTTTTTATATTTTGGTGACTCCTTAGTGGCCGTATGCGGGTATACTATAAATTTCTATAATAAGCTTAGGGGTCATTTTTCTAGTCGGGCTAGTATTAATCTTTCTAGCTATTATAAAAAGCTTTATAGTTAATATAAGGCTACCGTCCTTGTCTAGTTTAAGGATAATTTAAGTTTCCTTAAGGACCGTAACCTCGTAATTAGGTCTTCTACTAAGAGT